GATTTCTCTACTAAGAGGGAAAGCGGTGAAACAGAAGGAGATCTAACTCTCTTTTATTTCTTTCACACACACACACAAAACAAGACAAGACGATACACACAAAGACGTCTCAACAATCGTGACACACACACGAAAGGGGAAGAGGACCACCTAGCTCTGACGAGTTTCATCCTTTTATAGCTTCGAGGAATGAGCCAGGGGTGCCGTCTCTTGGCTACAGAAAGGAGGGGTGTCCTGTTCTTGGAAGTTGACAAGCATCCCTTCTGACCTTCGAGAGGATACCATGCTCTCTCGCAGGGAAGAGAACCCCGTCCTTGCATGGCAGCAAGCTGCTTCCAACGGGTCGTACTGCACAAGACGCACCCCTTCTGTTTACCTTGTAAGTCCCCCACGGGTACACGGTTGCTGCAACAAAGGCCTCCACAGGGGTCCTTTCAGCAGCTTCACACTGGAGTAGAGTATCCTGGGTCATCCAGGAGAAGTCAGCTTCGAACACGAGTACGAGACAGCCAACTGTCCTTTCATCCTGATAGGCCTTTGTCTGACTCGGGCTCGGTTCCTATGAGCTCTGACAAGTTCAAGTTTCCCTGAGCTACCTTCAGTCTCCTGCCCAAGTTAAGCTAGTGAGCATTAAACTCAGAGCTGGAGGTCGATACTGGCGATAGAGCATAGGAAGCAGGTAGCCTCTAGATCCTGACTGTTTACGAGTCTGCCTCAGGGGTCTGATCCTCTCCATTGTATATCTTACTGTTCAGCGAGCTGTTGTAGCGCTAACAAAGACTCCCCTCCCAGGCCGAGTCGCTTCTCACTCGATCCTTGAGCCGGGCACTCTCACCACACCTTGACCTGACGGTTCTGGCTGCAGACAGGACAGGCATAGCTGCCTTCTCTGTAAGAGACAATGGATCTAATGGAAGTTAGGAAGATGCATGATGCGGGCATGAAATGTTTTGGATCTTTGTAATAAGGTCACCCGTTGCGTCCTCGACAGGTACGCATGCTGCTGATCCCTGAGTGTAAGGGTTAGAATATCTCTAGACAGCTGGTCTTATTTTTTCATCAGACGTGACGAGCAGGAAGGAGAAACCATTTTAGTGCGCCAAGGGTTGTTGTTGTATACACAGCACAGAGATTGTCAACGACACGAGTAAAGTAAGGATGAAGAAGATTGAGAAGCAGGAAATAGAAGTCTCTAAGTTTACTAGGAGGTAAACTACGCACAACCACCACACTCACTTGCATGCCTTGTTTCGAGGTCATGAATCAACCACTTCGCTTCCAGAATGTTGTATACACAGCACAGAGATTGTCAACGACACGAGTAAAGTAAGGATGAAGAAGATTGAGAAGCAGGAAATAGAAGTCTCTAAGTTTACTAGGAGGTAAACTACGCACAACCACCACACTCACTGTGCATGCAAGTGGGGGAAATTCAGGAGGCCGTCCGCACGAGATGCGTCCGCCTATATAGGGAATATCCGGCAGAGTATCCGACGAGTATCCGAGGTTCCGGATCCTCATGGATACAACAGTTGTAAAATTCGCGTCGCTCGTCACATAGTATGCCGCGAGTACGGTTCGAATTTATACTATTGCAGTTCGATGGACAGCGGCAAGGCACTGATGCCATAATGGACTCTTGTAGGATGATGCGTTGCGCTTTCTCAGTCACTGGTGGCTGGCGGATCAGTTTCGATGGCCTCTCAGCTTGAGTAAAAAGGTCACTGATTGTTAACTTCCCTTTGAGTAAAAAGGTCCGCTGTCCTCGTACTGATTTTTAACTTAACTATGAGCAAACTCCGTCAACCCGAATCTGAGGTACAAGGAGATTCCCGGAGATAGCGCGGGAGATACCACCCATGGGACCGGAGGCCGCTAGGAAGGTCGTAAATGAGTCCGTGCCAGTGCCACAGTACTACTATCCCACCCGGCGCCGGTTGACGTGACACTTACTGGTCACGTAGTAGTACAGACGGCGCTAAACCTACTGCTCCGACCGGAGGCCGAGCCAAGTTGCGAATTCAGTACTGATGTCTCTCCGAAATTTTAAATTCTGGGGCACTTGACACTCAAAATGCACGGAGAGTTTGAAATGTTGTAAAAAGTGATTTATACACGGTTTGCCTGCCATGACATGAAGTCGCCGAGTGGGTGGGGTACTGAGATGTGGATGGGAGGGGTGGACGGACGCAAAAGGGTTTTACGAAGGAGTCAATGCAGGGTTTGCCGTGACTCGAAACCGAAATAGTGTGGTTTCGAATTTGAATAAGGTCACAACAAACGAAATCTTGTCATTTGGTAGCAGCACAAACACGACGAGCGCAACTTTTGGGATGACCTGCCTGTCCTTCCCCTCTAGTCCTCCTCCTCTTCTTCCTTCGGCGACCTCCTCCGCCGACGATCCCCTGTGATCCCCGCTTTCCCTCCCCTTCCCCTTCCCCTTCCCCTTCCCTTCCCCTTCCTTATCCTCTTTTTCAAGGCTTCCTCACCTCAATAGAACTATCTAATTCATCCGAAGAGGGACCCGTTGAAGTACAGGTCTCGTTCCTGATTTTGGCTTACCGACGATGACATCAAATGTTGCTCATGAATGTGAAAAGAATCTTTTCCAATCTTACATCACAAACATAAAAACAGCCTCTCTGGCATTTTCAACTCCTTGCCTCATTCGGACAGAACCTGACCTGGTCGGTCGCCCGACAAGAGTGTTCTTTCAAGGACCGCCAAAAGAAAAACAGCTCGCTTGCCTGACAGCTTCAATTGATTTGATACGTTCGGGGAAAATCATCATCGGTGCAACAGGTGACGCGCTTGAATTGAATGCGGAAAACATCTTAAACATGCCGTGCCAAGAAGAAAAACAAACTTACAGCTGATCCACAATCAGTGCTTGTTCATCGCATGTTATCAGATAGCTCGGTCCTTGTAAATAGGTATCACTTTGTTTTGATTGAGCACATTGCTCAGACCCAAAAACTTTTCAAAAAAAAAACAATTGTACTCTCATTGAATCAATGTGGATAGTAATCCGCCAAGTCTTACCAATAAAGTAGAAAATCATCAAACAAGACTCGTTGTAGGTAGTCAATTGTTGTTGACTGATATTCACAATGCAGAATGACGATCTCATTAGATCGAGAGCTGAGCTGCCGCGGTGGGCCAACGAGCCTGGAGCCGTGGCACGGTCGGCGATCTGATCAGGACTTCACAATGAGTCAGGGCCGACCACTGAACTAGCCCAGTAGAGCCACTCACCCCCAGGCTCGACCAACTCAGACTCTGAATAACTTAGCCTGCCTGATCATCAGACCTGACGATCCCTGACCGATCACAGGGTCCGATCGGCAATCGGATCATGGCACTGTCACTTGAAACGGATCATCCAGCTTCCCAACGTGTCCGATCCGATGATCAGTCCCGACACTGACACCGTGACACTGCCCTGGCACGACTCCCGAAGCCTTCAAGCCTTCGGAACCGTCTGAGTTCCGAAGCTGCCGACGAGGCACGGTTGCAGCCTCGGATGAGTCGCCACTGAGTTCAGGCACAGTAGTAGTAGTGAATCACGGCGGATGTCACGGTTCGCCGCCGGGCCGGACGGCGTGAGTACTACTGTGACTACAAGTTCACCGGGTGACTGGCCGCCACCCGGCCGCGGCCGCGCGCCCCGGGTCGCCGGCGGCCCGGCCAGCTGGCCGGCGGCGCTGGCCAGTGCGGCGCAGTGTACGGTACCGGCGGTACCCGGTACCGTACCGTACTGTGACGGGGCGGCCCGGGCCGGGTGGGGCGAGTCCGATCCGATCATCCGAGGCCCCCCCCCCGGGGGTGATCGGACCGTCGTCGGCGCCGGCGCCCGGCCGGCGGCTCAGGCCCCGGCCGAGGCCGCGCTCCGGCCCCGCTCGGATCGGACGCCCGGTACACTACGTAGTACCGCCCCGGATCATCGGATCGGTACGCCGGGCCGGCCGCCGGCCCGGTAGGCAGCCAGTACGGAACTCCATCACTGGCCTCAGGCTGCCGCCGAGTACCGTACAGCGGCGAGTCACGCCACTCAGTGACTGCCAGTGCCGCCGAGCCCGGTACGGTCACGGGAGTCACAAGTCACCGTCACCGGGCCGGACCGCCGGTGCAGTGCGGCCCGGCCCGGGCGCCGCCGCCCGGAGGCCGGCCCGGGCTCCGGCCCGGGCTGAGGCTCACAGGCTGGAGCCGCCCGGGCCCTTCCCTAGTCGGGTGGGGTACTTTGATATTGATTGTTAGGAGGGTAGGGTGATGAAGAATTTTCCGTCCGGCTGTGGGGAGAGGGTGGGGTGGTGGTTGGTCGGCGTCACCACTGCCATGGCGGTGTTCACCGGAGCAGCAGGAGGGCGGATCATGCCAAGGAGAGACGAAGGTAGAGGACATGTCATGCCGCTCCTGCTCTCGTTGCTGCATCCATGCGTGCGCGTGTAAGCTTGTTTGCTGTGTTGCAACCCCATGGCAATGGCGTGAGAAGTACGAACTCGGGAGTAGACTAACAGGAATGGATGAAAATCAATGGTCAGACAAACCTTTGTGATGAGGAGAGGAGGGGACAGAACGCAAGGAGAGTATGGGGGTGACTGAGGGTGTACGAGTTTGCTCTTGTCTCGATTTCCTTCATGATGTGTGTCACTGTCAAGACTTGTGACCCTCGCATACGAACATGTCTCTCATACCCTCCTCTTGGACTTTGTAGACGATGCGGAGGATGGTGAAGTCGCTGCGCCGCTCATGGCAGCTCAACCGCGACCGAGGAGAAAGAGACGTTGGTATCATCGTCCTCAGTGGTACACGGCCATTGGCCTGTGCATTATAGCATGCGTTGGTGTTGGCTTCTTCTTCACGGAGCACGGCGGTGATCGAGGTACCGAGAGGAGAGGAGAGGAGAGGTGGCGAGAGGAGAGCAGAGAGCAGAGAGCAGAGAGCAGAGTGTGAGACGGACTGCCGAGGGGAGGGCGGAGAATGGAGGGCGGAGTTGAAGTATGTTTACAGAGAGAACGAATCGGGCAGGATTCGTTCCTTGGTCGTCAGAAGGCAAACATGTGAGATGGAGGAACAGAGAGGGTGAGGATCGTCTGCCCTGAAGCTCATTTCCAAGGGAACACAACAAGAGGCGGGAAGCAGCGGGAAGCAGAAGCCGGCGCGCAAGAACATGCTGGCAGAGACCGAGCACAAACGATCTGGCAAGAAAGGGGTTCCGGCGAGGAGAGTAGATGCCTCTGGTGAGTAGGGGAGCTGTGCTGCGCTTCTTGTAATGGGAGCCGCAAGTTTCTGCATCATCCTCCAGCAACAAACAACATGAAGAGACACGTACAAACACAAAGAGCTTCCCACACTTGAATACCAAACGTCTACCAGAGAGCAAGGCTAGCACACCACAAACAACTAGCACACCACACGACAGGGCCGAGCACACAAGTAACTCGTTGGTGAAAGACATGCACACAAGCTCCGATACCATGAAGGGGAAGAGGAACAGGTGAGAGGATCTGACAGAAACTTGTTGAAAGCTTGTACGGGAGACTGACTTGTTTGTCTGTTTGTTTGCTCCAGTGGCGTTTCGGCGTTCAACAGCTGGCTCGATCTCTACCACAAACCATCGCGGACCCTGGCTACTGTAAGTGTTGCTGAACGATGATGATGATGATGATTTGATGTTTTTTTTCTTGCTCGCAGACGCTTGCAAGGCATCATGTAAGGGAGATGGAGGAGAGGGATGAATTTTATCTCTGATGCCGTTAAGTTTGTCGTTGATGTTGATGGCTCATTCTGAATGGTGTGGAATCACGTGAAAAAATCGAGCCATGGCTGCGCAGGAATAGGCTGATTGTCCACCGATCTTGTCGTCTCTGTGCCCTCAAGTCACCATCGTGTTTATGCTCACGAGCTGCACAGGAGGGATCTCGTGGACGTACGCACAACCTGCATGGAGGAGAGTTCAAGGTGATTCGTGAGACGTGGCCGAGAAGGGGGAGGGAGGGAGGGAGGGAGGGAGGGAGGGAGGGAGGATGGTGTGAGGAGCGATGCTGTGAAGGAGATGGGAAAGGGCTGACGATGCTTTTTTCAGGCGAAAGACCAAAAGTTCTACAAGCAGTACTCCGATTTCTTGAACGTGAGTTATGCGCCTCAGCAGGGGGAACAGAAGAGCAAAGAGCAAGAGGAGGGGCAGGGGAAGGGGAAGGAGCAGGGAAAGGAGTAGGGGAAGTGGGGTTAGGGAGGAAGGGAAAGGGAAGGGAGAAGGAGAGAGTATTTTCTTGCCTTGGTGATCTGGAAATTGTCGCAGAAGGACCACCCGGTCGGGCACACGCTGAGGGGGACGGGGATCCATCCTGACAGCTACCATCCTCATCCTACGTCCGCATCCAAGGGAAGCGACTTCTCCAAGTGGCTCGAGTGAGAGAGAGGAGGAGTGAGGGGGGTGGATGAAGTTGTTGACGTGGCGCGGTGTTTCTATGCTGTGATGCGATCAGAGGATCTTACTTTGCCCATCCTGCATGTCTGTTTTGTCTTCAGAAATCGAATTTATCAGGATGGGGGAGAGGGCAACGTGATGATGACGACGACCTTCATGATGACGACGATGATGTTTGATGTGCCATGTCAGGACCGACGATCGCAACGTCAAGACGAAAGAGCGCGAGAACGAGCGCGAGAACGAGCGCGAGAGGAGGAGTAAGACAAGGAGGGAGGAGGAGGGGTCGGTCGATTGACAAGCTCCTAGTGCTCGCAGAGCAGAAGCTAAAGATCCTGAGAGGGTTCACATCGACCGGGTCGGCGTTCTCCCCTTGGAATACTCTCCCTTAATCCCTGCTCCCTCTCATCTCCTGCCTCTCTTCTCCTTCTTCCTCCCTCCCTCTCTTCCCTCCTCCCTGCTTCTCTTCCCCTCTCCTCCTCTCTTGTCTCCTGCCTCTCTTCTTCACTCCCCTCCCTTCTCCCTCTCCCCCGTCCTGCTTTCTTACCTCCTTCCTGCTGACTCTTGTTCCATTCAGCGCACTGGCGCTCATCTTACTCTCCACCAGCGCAATCGGGTGAGTCAAGAGCTTGAGGTGGCCGCGCCGTCTACCTCACACGCCTGACCAGCTCATGGAGAGTCGCAACGGAGACTACAAGTTCCTCTCTCCTCAATCTCGATGGGTACTGCTGAAACTTACGACTACTCGTCATCTGTTCCACGTCCTCCTCAACCTCTTTCTCCTTCTCATCATCATCGTCGTCGTTATCATCGTCATCATCATCTTCCTCCTCCTCCTCCTCCTCCTCCTCCTCCTCTTAGCGTCGTCAACAGGTCAGGAAGGAGTACGATGCGATCCAGAACGCACAGAAGGCAAGAGCTCGAGCACAGCTGGGGTTGAAGCACATGCAGGCGGCGGTCAACCAGGTTGAGATGCTGGGCTGGAACTGCAGGCGGCTGAGATCTGACGCAGGCGCTGAGGAGGAGGAGCGAGTCATTCATCCCGGGCGTCTGGTCCCTTGACTCCGTGGGCAAGCCAGAGGATGCTGGTCACGCTCCTCCTCCTCCTCCTCCTCCTCCTCCTCCTCCTCCTCCTGCCAATCCTCCTCCCACTCCTCCTCTTCCTGCTGCTGCTGTTCTTCCAACGTCTCTCTCCCACTCCTCGTCCTCCTGCTCCCCCGCTGCTCTTCTTCCTCTTGTCTCCTTTTAATCCCCCGCTCCTGCTCCTGCTTCTCATTCTTCCTCTTCTTCCTCCACTCCGCTCTTTCCCTCCCTCCCTCCCTCCCTCCCTTCTCTCCGTATCTCGTCCCCTTGCTCAACCTAGTACGAGGAGCTGAACAGACAGACAGGAGGCGTCCTTTCGCAGGTGCCCGAGGACAGCAAGCTAGCAGGAGGCAAGGAGAAGAGGAGAGGAGAGGCTGGAGGTCTGAAATGGAGGAGCAGGAGTACTTGCAAACGTCCAACCAGACACTAACAACGGAGGGGTGCTGGCCAAGGTAGCAACAAGACTCTCCCGCCACCTCCGCCTCCTCCTCTCCTCTCGCCCGTTGCCTTGTCTCCTCGCTCTCTTCTCCTCCGTTTCCTCCTCTGTGTCCTTCTCCTTCTTCCCTTCGCCCCTCCCCCTTCTTCTCCTTCTCCACCACCTTGCCCTTCCGTCACATTCCGCTATCTTCTCAACTTGTTTGCAGGTACAGGCGGATACAACCAACCAGGGGGCTTTGGCTAAAGTCCCTCCTGCTCGCCTGAATGCCGATGGCACACATAGGTTGGAGGAGGAGGAGGAGGAGGAGGAGGAGGGAGAAGCGGGACAGGGGGGAGAAGAATGAGCAGTGGGAGGAGAAGAAGCAGAAAGGGAAGGGAGGAAGAAGGAAGGATTTGATGATGGTTCTGATGTCTGATGCAGCTATGACGGCGTGTTGGCGAACATTATGCAAGGAGTTGTGAAACACAAGTGAAGATGAGGAGAGGTGAATCTTTTACTGGATCATATTCCTAGTCCCTCTTCATCTTCCTGCTGCTGCTGCTGCTGCTGCTGCATGCCACTCCTCCCTCCCCTTCCCCTGCTCCTCCCTATCCTGTTCCTCCACCCCAACCCCCTTTCCTCCTGCTCCCGCTGCCACTGGTCCTGCTGCTTCTTCATTCCTTCCTCTTCGGCCATCGCGCGCGTTCGTCCCTTAGCTGTTTCTTCACTCTGTTCGCTCACGCTGCCCTGCAGTCGCGACTCTAGTGTTTCATCCGCTTTTCCTCGACCCCTGCAGCTGTAAATACTAACTGAGATGAAATCAATCTTCCTCATGAATCCTTCCCTCTGCGTCTGCTCCTGCTCCCTCCTGCTCCCTCCTACCCTTCCCACCCTCCTCTCATGTTGGACCCTCCTTTTCATGTCAGAACTGCATCAAAGGTGTCAGTGACAATCTTGTCTCATGTATGCCTTCTACAAGATCCCCAGTATACCATCATCTTCAGCACACAACAAAGTCTCCAAACATCCAATCTCATCATATCACATCTGTTAACTTGTTCATCACACAACAACGCACACACCTCTCCTCACAACCTCTCTCATCATCGTCATCATCATCATCATCATCATCATCATCATCATCATCATCATCGTTCAATCATCACCATCATCATCTTCAGTTTGTTTTCGCATGTTTGCGCTTTCGCGCTTCAAAAATTTGGTTTTGGTCATAGCCTGGCGCCACCACGGAAATCTTTAGTAAAAGGCGAAAGATTTGTACGGCATGACGGCACCAGTGACTTAATCGAAACCGGTTCTCCTGTGGTTTTTCCTTCTGCCTTTTACCCCTGTGCCTGCCCCCGATGGCGGGCAATTTACGCTGGGGATTGTGGGGGGAGGAGGGCTATTACCAAGTTTGTTGATGGGAGTTTGTGGGATGGGAGGAGAAGGGAGGGGGGCGGGCGGGGAGGACGAGGAGGACGAGGAGGACGAGGATGAGGAGGGGGACGAGGAGGGGGGAGAGGTGGGACGAGGAGGAGAACGAGGAGGACGAGGTCGAGGATTCCTTGTTCGAGGAGGATAAAGACGAAGAATCCTCGGTCCATGAAGAGAGGGACGAGGACGAGGACGAGGACTATAAAAATGAAGAAGTGGAGTAAAACGCGAGGGAGAGATGGGAATGGGAGGTGAGCATGAACTTGGGAAGAGCGGGGACGAGAGGGGGGGGGAAGGGGGAGTTGTGAAGAAGGGGAGACAGTTGGAGATGACTATTATCCGCGATTTCCTCAGATTGGGATGAATCACCGTCTTCGATGTTGACTGTCACAACCGTTGAACTGGAAATGATAAGTGAAGGGTTCGATTGGTTTCCAAGCTGTCTTACGGAGGATTGTCACTACTGAGTAACTTTGGCACCCGGTACTACGGTAGTCAACGATGACAAGAACTGTATCATCCAAGTTGATTGCAGTTAAGTCACTAGTAGGAATTGGACTCTCTTTGCCAAGCCAGAACTTCAGTGACTCGGCAAACCGTTCAACCGTTGAACGCGGCCTGGATCATGCGGCAAGCTGGCGGCAAGTCGAGAGTCGGCGGCCCGGCGCCGCACCGCGGCACCGACGCCGGTGACGGTCACAGGGTTCAAGTCCTTCTTGAACCGGCGGTTCCAAACTTGGCGGTGCCCGGCCGGCGCCCCGGCGCTTTCAACTTCCGGCGCCGATTCCCGGAGGCCCGGCCCGCTCGGAGCCTGTATATGCCCCCCGGCCCCTGTCACCGGATGATCACCGTGGCACGCCGGGGCGACGCCGCTGACCCGTCAGCGGCAGTGGCCGCGGCCGCCGCAACCGCGACGCCGGGTGCCACGGCCCCGGCAGCCTGGCACGGTGACTGTGCCACTGGTGTCCGACCCACTGCACCGGGCCGGCCCGTCCCCCGGGCCCGGGGCCCGGGAACCGGTGACCCGGCGTCCGATCACGTCATAGTGCCGCAGTGCCGCCGCGTCACGCGGTGACGGCTATCGGACTCCGGGCTCACAGGCTGGGGCCCGGACCGGACCGCCGTCCGGACTCACTCCACCGTACTGAGTCCCGGCGGACGGTGACCGCGGCACGCCGCCGCCGGTCACCGCGGAGTCCGTCGCCGAGTCGCGGGCCGGCCCCCGGGGCGGCGCCCGGGCCGACACCGCCGGGCACCGACTGGCAACTTGAACTTCAAGATCCGATCAGTGACCTCTTAGGCCCGTTTCCCGCCGGCTCCCAGATTCCAGATTTTTGACTTTATTCAAAGTGATTTGAAATTTACCCCGAAATATTCACCGGTGCTTTCAATACATACTGACAGGGGGTGGGTCCACTGCCTGTTCATATTTGATGCTCCAAGCGTACCCTCCCTACCTTCTAACAATTTTTCTCGATTGAGCTAATAGTATATTTCCATATAGTGCCTGCCCATTCGAAAAGCAAAATCTGGGAAAGTCAACCGCATCGTTTCATTCTCAAATTAAAATGACTTATAGTTGAGTTCTCCAAAACATTTGGAGGAGAAAAAAAGAAATTGACTTATATTTGTATGAAAAAATCTGGAATCTGGAATCTGGGAGCCGGCGGGAAACGGGCCTTAACCTCTTAACCTCATCCTCATTCCCCTAGTCCAGATGTCAATATATTAGGGTAGGGTGGGGTATGATGACAGGGCCCGGGGAGGGTGATACCAAGGGTGGTAGTTTATAGGGGGCAGTAGGGGTAGAAAGAGGACAGACGGTACATGGGGGGTTGATTAGACCCCCGGAGGTCTAAAGTCCTGTACGTGACTTGACATAGGATAGGGTGATGGGTGGGGTAGTGTGATTCTTCGAAGTAAATCGTTCGATCACCGGTGGTACCACTTCATAGGGCTCAGAGTGAGACAGGAGGGGTAGGGATAAGATAGCTTGTACGGGTGCAACTTCGGGGGGTGGGTAGGGTGGGTTATGCCAGGTGGATAAGGCCATGATGAATGGGAGCGGGAAACGTCGCTAGTCGATGAGCAGAGAGAGCTAGGGAGAGGCTGCTTCCCTCCTCCTCCACCCCTCGAGGAAGTCAGAGGCCTCCGACCTGCTCCAGTCTCGTTGGCCTGGTTCCTACCGGGAAGACTCTGAGGAAAGAAACCCTGGGAGAGGTGGGCGGCAAAGAGCAGGTTGCTCGGAATGGGGGAAGGTCTGACAGACAGCGAGCATTTCTTGTCATGCTTGTCCTCATGGTTGATTGAACTACGGGATGAATATGATGCAAACATCTTCCATGTTGCTTGTCCGTCTCAGTAGAAATGCTGAATGTTCTTTCTTCGGATTGTTCTAAAGGGATCACAGCAAGAATGGAAGCTCGCATGCAATGCTGGCTTTCGATCCTTTCTTGTTTTGTTTTGTCAGCAAATGGGTCTGGGTTTTCAATATCAGCAGCGTCCATTCGTCAGACTAACCCTATCGCGAATGGTCAAAATGTCTTGATTCTCTCTCTAACAGTCGCACAGAATGTTGAAGCACGATCAAACTTTTCTATTTGTGCTTTAACTGACTTCGAATATGCTGTTGGAGAAAGTGTACCTGCAGTTTCAAGTCCGCAGCTTTCGCTGACAAGCTCCTGGAATGCATCTTCCTGCTTGTTGTTTTCGAACACTGAAATCATCCAATCTCAAGCAACAGCATATCAGATTTCATTCTCAGTCAAAAACCAGAATTTCACAAATCAGGGCAGCAGTGCATTGACTCTTAGCCTCAATGCAGTGAACGTGCACCTCACTGTCATCTATGCAGATGTCCTGGGTGTTCTGAACGGCTCTGTCCCAGGGAAGACTGTCATTCCTTCGTTGATCTTTGCTTCTATTCGTCAATCGAGTGCACTGGCAAACATCAGCAACAGAGTTTCGATTGTTCTACGACCCAATGTGCATTTTGACACTGGATCCATTTTTACACTCACTGGATTCAGCGCCATCTGGGATTATATCGATTCTTGTTATTCATATGCAACGACATCGTTGACGACGACAACACCACTTGAACCGACATCATCAACCACAACTCAAGCAGACACGACGTCATCAACAGAATCTTCAACTCCTGCTCCGACTCCGACTCCTCCAACGACGTCTCCGACTCCTCCAACGACTTCTTCGACTTCGACTTCGACGTTTTTGACTTCGACAACAACTTTGTTTCCGACGACAACTTTGCAAACGGTCACCTCGACTACCGGAGTACTCATCGCGCCGACGCCCACTACCCTTGCCTCAACATACGCTGGTGGGAATTCGGAAAGCACCATTTCTTTGACAACAGGTGGTCAATCTGAAGGCGTTTCCACCAGTGATTATGCTCTGTCCGTTACCAGCACGCCAGTCGAGCAGTTGCAAAGCGCTTCATTTTCAACCAAGGGTGTCTATATGTCAAGCTCATCTTCTACCCCTGCAGAATCAGAAGGCATTACATCAACGACAAGCTTCTCTCAGCTGGGGTATTCTTCGACTGAGTTGCTGCCACAGGAGGCTCAGTCTACCCCAGCAGCCTCATCCACGTATGCTGCTGCAGAGGGAAGTGTCACCACAACAGTCGAAGAAGAGCAATTTACTTCGACTCCATCATTGCAGCAAGAGGCTCAGACAAGCCCAGCAGCAACCTCTACATCGCCGCTGGGAGTGGGAGGAGAAGTCACTACAACAGTGAGGGCAGAAGAAGGGTTCACTTCGACTCCCTTGCCTCAGCAAAACATTGAGTCTACGTTTGGCACCTCGTCGACTTCAGCAGCATCAGAGACTAGCTCGACATCAGCACCTACAACCGTGGAAACCAGCTCATTCTCGACCAAGATCATTGACAGCAGTTCCTCTTCGACACCCTTCAAGATCGAAACGAGTGCTCCTACTTCTGCAGCCTCGGCCGAGCTTTCAAGCCCATCGTCTACTCCCATAGAGGACCGCTCGTTGTCGACGTCTACTTGGAGCAGCTCATCGTCGACACCTGCCTTTAGCAGCTCATCGTCTACACCTGCCTTTAGCAGCTCGTCGTCTACACCTGCCTTTAGCAGCTCGTCGTCGACACCAGCACCATTCCAAACAAATTCCTTTCCTACTTCCAAAGCGTTCCTGTCAAGTTCCTCCTCCACACCCTTGGACAGCAGCTCTTCGTCGACAACAATGCAGGCGTTAGAGACCATCACAGATTGGACGACCCCCGCTCCCAGCAGCAGCAGAAGGAGACTGTTGAGCTCCGCCGCTTCGAATGATCAGCAGAATGTCGTCTATTCCACAGCAGCCGTGTGCCAGCAGAAGCAAATCCAGTTTGCATCAGCTCAGCCTGACCAGACTTTGTCCGCGTCAAAAGTAACTTTCGGAGGCAGAGCCGTGATTCTTCGTACTGGCGAGCTCCTGCTGGTTGCCAACTCGAGCTTCGATCAGTACGAGGCTCTCGTCGCTTTCGAGCTCACAAACCCGGTGGTCGAACGGGCTCCATCGAGTTTTCTCGTCCAGGGAAGGCTCGTGGTGAGTGGGAATCGTTATTCTCTGCCATCGCAAGGGGTCACGTTGAGCTCCCAAGCCATCGGAGGTGTGAAGGACGCCTCCAACCCGTTCAAGGTTCATGTCCCAAAGATCCTCTTCGCCCACATCCAGCACTCGAGATCAGTCTCGTTCATGCAAAATACGATCTCGATGGAGATGAGAGTGGACGTGGATATGACGAACCGTTCTTACCTCTACATCACAGGCATTCCCGACCAGCTCTACGTCTACAATGAAGCGAAGGCACCAGCTTACAGCAACCTTGACAGCGCGATTGAGGTGAAGCAGGTGGCCGATGGCTTCACCGTCAAGGTGTTGGACCTCATCGCAGTCAACACGAGCATCCGTGTGTGGGTTCCCGTCATGAACAGCCAAGGTCAGCGGCTAGAGGGATGCAACGTGTCGGTCGAGGGAGGAGTCGGAGTCGGAGACAGGATCTCTCTCTTGTCAAAGACTCGCATGACGACCGAGACCGACACGAGCGGCCGCATCTGCTTGCTTGTCGCCCCGAAGGTTGTATCACCGACGGTGTCATCAGTGAACCCACTGGTGGGCTCGCTGAACCGTCTGAACCTCAAGTTTGCTTTCAATGTCGAGCTCAGAGGGAGCGATGGGCTCAAGTTCAGGCTTCGCTCGCCTCTGCTGCAGTCGCCTCTCACCAGCGGGTCTCTCAACTTCACCTCTCAAGACGGCAGGGTGCAGACGTTCCGCAACGTGACGACAGGCGAAGATTACCTTGAGTTTGCGATGGAGGCCTCTGACGCGATGAAGGCAAACGTCAACTACTATCTCCTCGTCGACGTCAGGAACCCGTCCTACGTCCTTCGAGCCCCCCACGTCTCCATGGACATCACAAGCTCGAAGAGCAACAACTTCGCCCTGGCCTTCAACTTCACCCCGGTGGCTGCTTCCAACCCCTACGGGATCTCGTTGCAGGATCCTCTTGACACATGGGCTCCTGTCATCGTCAACGCGTCTATCTATCAGAGCTCTCCTCTCACCGACGCCTCCAACACTCTCACGGTCTCTGTGAAGACCAACACCTTCCTCGTCCAAGGCTCTCGCTTGACTCTCAGCGGCTTGTGCGGCATGGCGGATGTCGACGCGACTGTGAATGCTGCTGCTTTCAGGGTGACCTCTACCTCTGCGAGCGGGTGTTTCATAGTGGTGGAGGCGACGAGCGACCGGAGCAGCTTCGTCGTCATGCTGGATGTGACAGTGAGAAACGGAGGGAGCGAGCAGGTAGCCGTCAGCCCCACGCTGAGCGGGTTCATCGAGAGCGGCGTATGGGACGCGAGCTTGAGTTCGGTGTCGCTGCTTCAGCAGCCTTCCTCTCGGTTCGGCATTGAGGGAGGCTCGTTACCCCTCAAGATTGTTCGTCCTCGCATCTCCTCTTGGAGCTTCCAGCAATCCTCTCCCTTCGTCGGCTCATCCAACCAGCTCACTCTCAGCCTCACCCTCAACGTCGCACTCACCGTCGGGTCTCAACTCTTCCTTGCAAACTGGCCTGCACAGCAAGTCTCGCAGGCCGCGTCGCTGTCGTCTGCATGGCAGGTTGTCAGCATCAGCTCCAACTCCTCCTTCAAGTTCCTGGGAGGTGACAACCAACCTCCTTATGTCCTCCTCTTGAGCATCAGAAACAGTCAGACCCCCCTGTCCTCCCCGTCTGACTTTCCCGCCCGCCTCATGGTGGAGTGCGGGCTGTACGACTCTTGGTCAGAAGTGACCACCATAGCTGGGACCCAGCAGGACCTTTTCCTGGTCCCGGGCGGGCGGAAGCCATTCTTGACAGTGATGCCGGAGATACAGGAGGCGACGATCTCGCAGACGATTCCCTTCACCAGCTCGCCCAACGTGATCTCCCTGCACGTCGTCTCCAGGTTCGCCATCACCAAGGACTCGCGGCTGCTCATCACCCCAGCTCCCTCGTGTGTGCCAACGCTGCTCGACTCCTTCACGAGCATCAGCGATAATACTCTAGTGCTGACGCTCTCGGGTTCGAACGTCTCCGCCTTCAATGTGTCGTTCCGCGTCATCAACGGCGACTGCGAGCAGGCGGACAGGCCGTTGCAGGTCAAGCTGGTGGAGGAGCTGGGAGTCTTCGACTCTGAGAGTGAGACGAGGGCGATGCTGATGGATCGCTCGACCCTCTTCGGCGTCATCAATGGCAGCAGCCCCTTCGTGACTTACCGTGCGACGATCACCAACGCTCTCGTCTACCAAGACAACCCGATCGTCGGTCAGCTCAACAACGTGAGTTTGTCCCTTCGCTTCAACTTCGAGACGCCCAAGCAGGCAAGCTGCACCATCACCGGGATGAGCATGTTCGACCAGCAGCAGGGCGTCGTGAGCGTCAGACAGTCTCCGGCCAGCCTGATCAACTCGAGCCGCCTGGTGGGAGGGAGCCTGGTGCTCAGCAACTTTCTGCAGACTTTGCCAGCTGGCGACGACCTGAACGTGACGGTCGTGCTGGTCAACGGAGCGAAAGAGAGCAATGCAGCTGCAGTGTCGGTCACGTGCTACCTTGATCCGATCGTGACCGGGTTGAAGGTGACTAGCGAGTTCTCGTCGCGTTCTGTCTCTGTGTTTGGAGTGGCAGGAGGGTCTCTCGTCGGGAAGCTGGTGCGAGCAGGGTTTGACCTGCTCGCGGGCATCCAGACGAACCCGCTGGTGATGAAGGAGAACAAGCTCGTGTTCAGCATCTCCTGCAACATCGACTTTGCTATGGGATCAACGATGACTCTGCGTGGGCTGGTGGGACTTCCAGCACTCTACAATGTCTCGTCGGAGTTTGCTGTGCTGAATCGTACCTTGAGCGATGAGCTGATTGTCATCGCGCACATGGACATGTATGCGAGTGAGACTTACTTTCTCAACTTGTCGTTGATCAACCCCGACCAAGAGCAGGACTCTCCTCCTCTCAAGCTCAGGGCGACGCTTGTGGTCCAGGCGAGCTATGCAGCTTTACACCTGCCGTTGGCGGAAGCTCTCGTCAGCAAGCCAGGAATCACCGTCATCGGTATCCCCGGTGGTTATGACCCGCTCAAGATTTTCCGAGCCAACTTCACGATCGATCAACTCTCGCAGGTGACCATGTTGTTCTGCCGCGCGACGGTCTTCAGGATCTTCTTCTCCTTCAACTGCGACATCCTGCCAAATTCCTCGCTCACCGTCAGCTTCCCCGCTCATGCCCTTGCCAGTCTGCTGGCTACCGCAGACTACTACCGCGCGCCCAACAGCAAGGCTGTCGTGGTTGTCAGCCAATTAGGACAGCTCGCGCAAGTGTCGAAGGGAATTCAGCTGAATGTTCCTGACACGTCGACGTCTGCTCTGAGCCCCTTCAGTCTCGCTTCTCATGTCTTGACCATCTTCGGTCCCGTCGCCTTCCCCGAGCTGAAGCTGAACGTGACGGTAAGCGCTGGGCCTCCGCTTTCCTTGGCCTTGACTGATCTCTCGTGCTGCAGTCAAGCGTGCAAGAGATCAACCTCATGGTCCATCAGCTTGCCTTCGCCTTCGATGCCATCAGCGACCGTCGAGTTGTCTACGTCCAGGACTTGAACCTTGCAGGAGACCCTTCATGCACACAGGTGCTGACGTGGCAGTTGTCGGAATGTTCGCTTCTCACCCTAATGGCAGGACTTCCTTCAAGTGACCACCTTCACAGTGTCAGGCAGTATCGATCCGAGCTTCTCCCTGGCTCCCAAGATCAATCAATCAGGTCTGCCAGTCCTCCCTGTCCTCAAGAGCCTCAACCTGACCATGCCGCAGGGTACTTGTCCTTCCGGATATCAAACTCAGAGCCCGACGAAGGTTCTTCGATCGAGTTCGACCTGCTGATAACCGCCAGCTTGTATGATGCGAGCCTTAGCAACTCTCTCAAGTTGGATAGTCGCGTGCGAGTGATCGTCATGGGAAGAACTCGCTGTCCGGTCCAGGTGTGGTACAATTACGCAGGGTCGCTGGCGGTAGAGATCAGCTGGAGAAAGGATCCGAGAACAATCCTTGCTTGCCAACAGAACGCGACGAGCAAGACTGTCTCCTATCGGGTCAGCCTCAAACCGGAGAAAGGCTCTGTCGTTACCAAGACAGTCAGCAGCAACTGCTCTGCAGTGCAAAGCGTGAGGCTCGATAACCTTGAGCAAGGACAAGTGTACCATTATGATGCCATCGGAGTCAACCTGTTCGGCGAGACGTGCAGCCCATCGCTCGACTCCTCTGGCTTCAAGTTCCTCGCCTTGACTACCCCGACGGTCCCTCAGTCTCTCACCGTCTCTCGCTTCGACCTCAACACCCTCAACTTCACCTGGACGATCCCATCTAATACTGGCGATGGGACAGCAAACCGTCAACTCATCTCCAGCTTTCGCGTCGTCTTGGTGGTCAATCAAGAGTTTGTCATCTCAACATTGCAGACAAGCGTGTTGATCACGAGACAGGACTACCCCCAGCTCTTCGACTCTACCACCCAGAACTTTACCCTCAAAGTGTCGGCCATCAACGTCGTCGGAGAAGGAGCCGTCGCCTCCTCTCCTCTCGATCTTGCAAACGCCGAATGCCCGCGAGTATGCGGAGACGGGTTGAAGTTGCCGACCGAGGACTGTGATGACGGGAACGTGTTGGACGGAGACGGATGCTCGAGCAGCTGCAAGGTAGAGGCAACAGCTCTCTGTCGTTTCTCCAGCTCTCCTGCCTTCACCTGCGAGCAGAAGCCTCAGGGCCCGTCTTCCTGCATCTTTCCTAAGTTCGAGTACGTCAAACTGCTCCAGTCCTCCACGTTTCCCGAAAGCGACAATATCATCTACTTCTCCCTTCGAGCCAACACGCCGCTCGTATCGGCCCTGCATGTCACACTCAGTGGGCTGACGGGTACGGGCACACCAGACAACAACAACTTGCTGATCACGCTATACAACAGCACATTCAAAATGACGTCTGCTATCTGGACGCAAAAATCTGGGAAACTTGACATGACGATCGACACCGTCACTGGTCTCGACGGCGAGCTCTTCCTCTCCTTCACGTTGAAAAATCCTTCCACGACTCAGGCTGCCGTTGATGTCACGGTAGGATGCATCGACTGCGTGACCTGCGTCGACTGCTCTCAGTCGCCCGTCAGCCTGCAGGGCTCCGTCAACGGCTCGATCCTGGGCGTGCAAGTCCCCAAGACTGACTGCGAGCGGAGGAACGGCTCAGCATGGTTCGGCCCCAACTGCTCTCTGCCGTGCTACGGAGTCGTCCAGGTCCCCCCAGGCGGTCAGGCATGGTGCGAATGTCCTGCCGGCTCTTTCGGCGAAAGTTGCCAAACTCAAGTGGTAGCGGACAAGAATCTCTCGGTAGCCCCGCAGCTCGTGCAGCCGAGCTCAGAGCCGGTACCTGTCAAAGGAGCAGACGGTGACGGGGTGGAGCTTCCTCCCGGAGCCCTCACCTCCTCCATCGTCGTCTCAGTGCAAGTGTACAAGGCGGATCCTCCGATCCCCAAGGAACAGAGTGACCTCAAGCCCGTGGGGAAGGTGATGGAGCTGAAGCCCGACGGAGTGACCTTCGCTCAGCCCGTCACCATCGCCACTGCCATCACCCAGGAAGTCATCGACACGGCGAAAAAAGAAGGAAAGGTGCTGGAGATGCGCTTCCTGGATCGGGGCAGCGGCAAGTGGATGAGCACAGGAGGGGAGGTGGCGTATGTCGGCGGAGCTCCGTTCCTGCTCACCAAGAGCTATCACTTCTCTCTGTGGGCAGCGATGAGCGGCAACCCTCCCCCGACCACAGCGACCAACGCGAGCGAGACGACGGCGATGGCGACAACTGCCGTCGTCCTTCCCTCTACCACCATGCCCCCCGAGAAGACTCGCTCCGTCAACGTTGTCTTGTTCATTGGGATCGCCGCCGGTGTCACGTCGGTTCTAGCCTTATCGATAACGGGATGGTACTACACCGTGTCAAGGCACGGCAAGAAGACGTCCAAGGAGCCTCAGCAAGTTCAGAACGTACCAAGTCCGACGAGAGACGCTGAGGAGTACTTCGAGTCTGTAATGCCTCAGCAGCAGGAAGGGTCACCTTCAACTGCGGAGGCAGCTCCAGACGCAGCAGCGTCGGCAGAACTTGTATACCAGGATGTGCAAGAACAGGAGGAGACAAAAGTGGTTGCGCCGACAGAGATCAAGTTGTCGGAGAAGAAAGAGAAGGAGATGGAGGTGGAGGCAGCAGCCAAGGGCAGGCGAAGCAGGCGAGGGACGATAGAGCACGTGAAGAAACTGAAGAGAAGCATGCTTGAAGAGAGCCTGAAGGCCTCCATCAAGACTTCGATCACCAGCCTGACCGCTCAGGACATGGATGAGTTCGAATCTTTCTCGCGGGAACTCAAAGACCAAATGAACAGAACTGCCCGACCAGCACCAAGTGGGGCAGAAGAATCATTCCAAGGAGAGGCAAGAGCAGCAGGCAACGCTCCTACCAAACAAGAAAATGATGCAGTCCGTGATATCCCCAGATCACATGCAGAAGAGGCGAGAGGAGGAGGGCAGGGAGCGAGGACTGCAGGGGATATGCCAAGGTCACATACAGGAGAGGCGAGAGGAGGAGGGCAGGGAGCGAGGACTGCAGGGGATATGCCAAGGTCACATACAGGAGAGGCGAGAGGAGGAGGGCAGGGAGCGAGGACTGCAGGGGATATGCCAAGGTCACATACAGGAGAGGCGAGAGGAGGAGAGCAGGGAGCGAGGACTGCAGGGGATAGCAGGTTCGTTGAGAGAGAGAAGACAGCAGGACAAGGGAAGAATCGGAGAAGAGCGGAGGAGCGGCAAAGCAAGAGGGCGGAGGAGCTTCACGAGATGATCGTGACAGAGGACAAGAAGGCGGCAGAGAGGTCGAGGAGAGACTCAGACGCCTGGATGGAATCATTCCTCAAGAGCGAGCACAGAAAGCATGTGCTGGAGACAGGGAGGAGACTATCGAATCGAAGCTCCCGACGCCTCCTCCTTGCTGAACGTCCTTCCTCTATCGAAGTTTCGGACGAAGTCACAAGCCTGTCCAGCGCTGAGTTCTCTCCGCAGCTGCTCGAAGCGAGGTCCAACTCTCTCCGCAAGGCGTACGGCCACAAGAAGAGGGAGAAGAAGAAGCACAAGGAAGGAGAGACGGTTCAAGAAGTTGCCATCTAGCCGCCTTTGCTGATCACTGATTGTGTGCTCTGCAACGCCCAGCCTTCGTCATGTCATGTTGTATATTACTCTCTCGCTCACTGTACTATACCTTGGAACAGAATAAGCAGCAACTCAAGACTCGCTTGTCATGTACTAGCCGGCACCATGACCAACAACTTGTACACAACACCAGAACGTGCCGGGTGAAAGTTTTCTTTCAACTGATAAGAATTAACCTCACATCTGTTCATCATCATCATCATCATCATCATCATCGTCATCATCCGTTCAGCACCTTCATAATCTTCAGTTTGTTTTCGCATGTTTGCGCTTTCGCGCTTCAAAAATTTGGTTTTGGTCATAGCCTGGCGCCACCACGGAAATCTTTAGTAAAAGGCGAAAGATTTGTACGGCATGACGGCACCAGTGACTTGCCGATCCTCATCCCCGCTCCTGCCCATCCCTGCTTCCCCTCCTATTACCCTGCCCCCGATGGCGGGCATTACTACATTGTGGAGCGATGGCGATTCAGTGCAAAGAGGATCTTGTGGTCTACATGTGGGATATGACACCTGATCGCATGTCACACGATGCGGCATGTTATGTTCCCGTACGATGAATACATGTAGGTTGCTTTCCGTAGCAATCCGCAGTGTATGTTGAATTCCGTAGCAATCCACAATGGATGTTGATTTCCGTAGCAATCCACGAAGTAACTGATTGCGTTCTTGAGCTGTAGATCGTGAGGTCAGCACGATCATCATCTCTTGTATGATGCAGCCATGACGACTCGAGGGATTGTTGATTTATTCGTACTAGCAACGCAAGGAAAGAAAGGGTATGAACCAGCTGATTCTGCTCTTCACAATCCTGCAAGACTGGATGTCCTCACACATCGACCAGCATCTAGTTCGTCTGGAGCATGCGCATCAGAGGACAACCATCACACCACAAAAGGGATCACCTTGACGAGGTGCTCGGACATGATGTACCCGCCGACAGGGCTGACAGCATTGGCCGCCGCATTCGAGGCGCCCTTGAAGTTCTCCTCCCACTTGGAGACGTCTCCGGTCTTGATGGCCTGCGAACTCTATGAGTCGATGGCGGCATGAAGCAGAGGAAAGTCACCTCAACCGTTGCCTCAGCAGCACCAAGGATGAAGGCATGGCCGCAGAGAAGAAGGTGTCCTGGTGGAACAAGACCAGTCAGAACTTCACGAATGCAGACATTGAAGACATGGACAAGTCGGGCAGTGACATGATCGATACGGCCATCACAAGGATCAGCATGGCAACAAACTGTGAACATTTCGTTCTGTCAGTTCTCTAACCGGGAGACGCAGGAGTGGGCTTGTTCTGCTCATCCAAGCAAGACACAGGAAACAAAAGGCTTTCAGAACAGGTCAGACATTGACATCAATTCGAACCTGCTTGACACAGCTCACGTCCTTGGAATCTGGTGGACCAAACATCAGCTCATGACCTACGACTTCATGGCGACTCACCCACGGGCACGGCTCCGAGCTGGTGGGACTGATCGTAGAGACCACCGGAGTTGTAGTACCTGCACACCCATTGAGCAGGTCCAACAGAAACTTCCACGAGCCTGCTCACCAGGTCCACTTGGACGCCGGGTAGGCACCGGGGGTGTCAGGGTACCATCCGTACCCCCGTTGCCAGACAAAGTCAGCCTGGGTTGCATGACGTCAGCAACTCCCGAGAGCTCAAGTTTCAGACCGAGTTGGGGTTGGCCAGGGTGGTGGTGTGAGCCTGCGACAGGGAGCCTGTTGAATGAAACTAAGGCCCCGACACCCTCTCTGCATCCTCCTCCTACCTGCTGCGACAGTGGACGCATCCGAAGAAGCATGCATCTGATCGTAGAGACCACCGGAATTGTAGTACCTAGAAAGCAAACAACACGATTAGCAGCCAGCAACTCTCCTGATGACGTCGCTCTGACCAGGTCATCTTGCTTGCAGGGTAGGCTCCAGGAGTGTCAGGATACCAGGAGTAGCCACGTTGCCAAGCAAAGTCAGCTGGCGGCTGATCAACGAGCGGAGTTAGATTGATATGATCTCCAGCCTCGTCATGTATCAGCTTCACACCTGAGACAAGGTGGTGGTGTGGGCACTGGTGGAGGCACTGGCGGCAGCAGTGGAGGCATCAGATGATGCGCATGCAACAGCCTGTAAAGACTATCAATAAATGCAAAGCAAGGACATCGAAAGTATCACCTCAATTCCTGTAAGTGGGGGCAAGAACACCTGATAATTATACCATCAACTCCAGCATGTTTTCGGGTTAAAAGAGTTTGTGCTTAGTGCTCCATAACTGAATGATCGAAGACGACGACAAGGTTGATTCGTTTGTTGAAATCAGGTTTACACAACAAGATTCATTCATAAAAAAAAATATGTTGCACATGGAGCTGCACTATCGCTACCATCCGATGGGATGGGAAGCGAGGGGATGACATAGAGATACTTGCAAGCAAACCATCAACAAACCCGCACTGCACAAGACGGAGATCGGAATGAATGAATGAAGACACATTCAAGAAAATGAATGAATGAAAACACATTCAACGAAATGAATGAATGAAGACACATTCAAGAAATGATAATTTTCATCACTGACAGTGGAATGAGTGACATGCTTGTGCCATGTTCACAGAGATTGTTCGCAATCACAGAAGCCTTTTTACCATGGCGGCGACGAACAGACACCGGAATGTTGGGGGGTACTGACAAAAAATCTTTGTGAGTAGGGTAGGGGTCAGACCGATAGGGTAGGGGTACTCGAGTTCATTCGATCTACCCCCTATTTTCCTATCGAACAGTATGGTAGAGGCGGATGTAGGTACCCACCTGAAAATGTCTCACCCCTGTTTCCGACTATTCTTTGAGTACGGAAATTGCCTAGGGGGTGGTGAAGGAATTATATTATAAAGGGGGGTAGGGTATGGCTAGGATAGGTGGGTTGTGGAGGTCATTGTTGGAGGCAATGGTGGGGTGGGTGGGGTGAAGAGGGGGGGAAATCTCCTTGCAAACAGGGGGTGGTAAAAGGTACGAATCGTGCTTGATCAGAGGGAGTGGCTACCACCCCTCATGTATCCGGAGCTGGAAGGGGTTGTGTATTATTCATAAAGCAAGTTTGAATAATCTTGCCTCTATTATTTGAAATATAGAGATAGGTTTTGAACCCGCGTAAGAAAGGATTACTAGGGGCAGTGATCGTCGAAATGAGGGGTGGTCTTACAAAGTTGCTCTCAACGGGATGTGGGGTGGGGTACGGAAGAATTTGGGGACGAGTCAGGGGTGGGTAGTCGTAAAAGTTCTTGGTCCATCCGGGACCCGGGGCCCGGGCCCACCGTGCCGACAACTCGGAAGCACTGGGAGGAGGGAGGGAAGGGCGAAATGGAGGGGAAGGAGGCAGTGGGAATGGCGAGCGACTTCGAGCCCGCGAGAGGTAACTGGGATGGCATGCTGACATGTCTCCCCGATCCTCCATGATGATGTCTGTACGATACCATGATGACTGCCTGAACACCACCATGATGGTCTGTGCGATACTATGATGACTGCCTGAACACCACCATGATGGTCTGTGCGATACCATGATGACTGCCTGAACACCACCATGTGCGATGCGAAGTGTATGGTGAAGATTAGAATTATTTGTTGGGATGAACCGCGCCAGGAATGCTACAGAGGCCTTGGGCACTTTGTCCTGCTGTTAACCCCCGTCCTCTCCTCCTCTACATCTTGAGCCTCAACTCGTTGAACAGGCCATACGGTTGACGGCATCTGCTATTTCGAAGTGGACGCGCAGGACTTTCAGCCCCACACGCAGGGGTCACTGACGCTCTCGGGAGTGACGAGCGACTTGGAATCGAGTGGAGAGGCAAGGAGGCGAACATGGGCAGGTCCGTGCTCCCCATCTCCACCTGCCTTGCTATGCCCTCGTGCCGTCTCTGACGATGGGGTTCTCCTCCAGGGGAGAGCATTGTTGTGTACAGGAACCGTCAAGGTAGCATGTTTGCCATCCAACGGAGCTGCCCGCATGCTCGAGCTGCCTTGTCCGAAGGAGACATCGAGGTGGCAAAAATATCTCCTCCGGCATCGCATGAATGCTCCTCACAAGGACTTCCCGGATATCTCGGCATGCGCGCTCAACCCACCTGCAGGTATGGCAGCGATGGCATTCTCCGCGACCTGAACGCTTCGCCCCTCCCAGGGCCCTTCCTGTCATGCCCCGCGCACTCCTTCATCTTCGACCTTGCCACCGGGTCATGTCTCTCAGAGCCGAGGTCCAGGTGAGTAGCTCCTCTTCCTCTGTCCCTCTCCCTCTCCCTTCCTCCCTCCCTCCCTCCCTCTCCCTCTCCCTCTCCCTCTCCCTCCCTCTCCCTCTCCCTCTCCCTCTCCCTCCCTCTCCCTCTCCCCTCTCCCCTCTCCCTCCCTCTCCCTCTCCCTCTCCCGGAGGATACAGCAAGTCTACCCTCTCGCTCCCCTTGTTGTCAAGCTCTGATCCCCTCCCGCTCCCCTCCTGCCCTCAGATGCGGCCCTGCACGCGTGTACGATGTCTCAGCTGACGAGGAGGGGAGGATCTACGTCTCTATCGCCCCCAAGGAGCCCCGCGGTGAGCAGGACGCAGAGGAGGGAGGAGGGAGGAGGGAGGAGGTGAAGGCAGCGCAGATCCCAGCATAGCACGGGAGAGAGTCAACGAAGTCCAGCTGCGCCTGATGGAGCGAGGGTTGGAAGCATGAAGAGAGCTGTTGAGGACGACGGGGGCTGACAGGTACCGAGTAGGAACAAGGTCGCTGGGATCGGCACACATAAAGGACTTGTTCGAGAATTAGCTGAGAGTCTGCTGACGGTTTGTTAAGAGTGTATTGACACGCTCCCCACCTTGATGCCCCCTAGCCGGATCCCATGCTCATGAGCTTCTTTCTTCTCTTCGGGTCGACTTGCAGCTCCTCAGCAAGGTTCAGCACCTGCCCACAACAGTCCTTGTCAGCCTCTCCCCTCCTCCTCCTCTTCCATCTCCTCCACCACCGTCTTCCTCCGTTACATCCAATACCACTGCTCACAAACCTTGGATCCAGATACTCTTATCCCCCTCGTCTTCTTTCATATCTGATTCAGAGCCTCTACTCCTCTCTTCTATGCTGTCTCCACCACCTTCTCCTGTTCACATCTCCTTCCTCCCATCTACCAATCTCCTCCCTTCTCCTCCCTTCCCTTGTTCCCCTCTGTACACCCTCCGCCTCCTCTGCCTCTCACCAGTGATGATCCAGCGAGTCCCATGAGCGCAGTCGTAGCCTCGAACGCAGCGTCGCGAACTTCAAGCACACTGGAGGAAAGTGAGGGGGAGGAGAAGAGTGGAGGAGAGAAGCATGGCAGAAGAGGAAAAAGGGACAGAGAGGTTGAGGCAGAAAGGAGGGAAGGGAAGGGGGAAAAAGGAGAGAAAGAACAGAGGAGGGGGGGGGGGGAGGAGGAGGAGGAGGAGGGAAGGGGGGGGGGGGGGGGATATGGTTTATCCATTGTTCATGGATCCTACTACAGGTTCACAGAGGGAAGAGGGGAGACCGATGCCCCCTGCTTTTGATCCTGCAGCAAAACGAAGAACTTTAGATGAGCAAGGGATACCAAGATGTGAGGAGGAGGAGGAGGAGCAAGAGGAAGAGAAGGGAAAGAAGGGGGGAGGGGGAAACCAAGTAGGTACTGGATGTGTGTTACTTTTGTTTGACTTGTTTGCACGCAGTCCCCTTCCTATCCACTTTAGAGTCTCCATCCTGACCTGCAGGTAGGACGGGGTGAGACGAGCAGTAGGCTGAGGTGAAGGTGAAGGAGGAGGAAGAGATTGTGCGGTCACCTTGGGCGTCGATCCTTTGCTGAGGGCGTTTGAGATCGGGTCAACCACATCATCGAACTGTACACGAGCATGAGGAGAGGAGGAGGAGGAGGAGGAGGAGGAGGAGGAGGACGATGTGGATGAGGAGGAGGAGGACGAAGTGGATGACGAGGTGAAGAAGAGGAATCGTAGGAGGAATAGGAGGACGAATAGGAGGAATAGAAGCAAGACGAGGAAGAAAATCTCCATACCGTGAAGCATCGCTGCAACCACTGATCCAGGGTGACATGAACTGCTTCCACCACTCCTCGATTCTACAAGCACGTCAGCTTGTCTCGCTCTCCCAGCCAACCCCCTGGCGTCCCCGACACAATTTCTCCTCCCCTTCCCTCCCCCCTCCTTCCTTCCCTCCCCACTCCCTCTCCTTCCCTCCCTCTTCCTCCCTCTCTCTCCTCCCTCCCCTCACCTTGTCCTTGAGCTTGTCCAGCATCAGAGGGCACAGCATCTTCTCATCGTCTCAGTCCTTCCTCCCATCAGCTCGAGGGGTCAAACCTTACACGAGCCCGCAAACTCCTCCTTCAGCCCGGACCCCAGCAGGCCTGAGAGATATTTCTCAGCTCATCCCCCAACCTCTGCTAGCATGGGCCCACCAAGACCCTTGACGGCGGCTGACACGACCAGGACCATGGAGTCCCCCGTCAAGACCCGTAAACTCTTGACGACCTGTTGGCAGCCTTACCCAGCTGCACTACCACCACCCCGCCATCCTCCGACTCTCCACAGCATCTTTTGTTCACCTCCGAAAAGTCCCCGGGGACGAGGCGGAAGCTTCCTGCACCTGAGGGCTGGCAGAGGGCAGGGATCTTCTCGAGAAACTCCAGCTTCTCCTGCCACTTGGCAACCTTGAGGACCTGGCGACACGTTGAGAGGATGGAGAGACTGTCTCTGCTCCGCCGGCACCTGTGTCGCCCAGCTCTTCCCCAGCTTCGTGAGTAGATCGACCTCTACCTCTACCTCCTCCTCCTCCTCCTCCCCGTCTTCCATCGCCTCCTCCAGCTCCTGGCGCTGCTTCGTGTGCCCCTTCAAGTCCCCTCTCTTTCCAGCTGGCTTCGAGCTGGAAGCAAGCTTCCCCTTGGTGCTCCGGGTTGCCCTCCTCGGTCGAGGACGACCAGCTGGGACGTTGGCAAGCGCAGCATCCAGTTCCTTGGCCTGCAGACAGGCTCACCAGCACAGCAGGGGGCAGACGCTGCGCTACCTGAACCCCCCGGAGACGCCCGAAGGAAGTGCGGATGCCAGGGCCCTGAGCACGAGAGTGAGGACGAGTGAAAGAGTCAAGGAAGACAAGGAGAAGTTGAGGAGAGTCGGAGAGCGAGGGAGAGCGAGGAGCAGGAGCAGGAGCAGGAGCAGGAGCAGGAGCAGGAGCAGGAGCAGGGTGAGCAAGGGAAGGCAGGAGGAAGAAAAGTGGCAGGAGGAGGGGGCAAGGAAAGGAGGAGAGAGGGAAGGGGTGAGAGGAGGTAGAGCTTTACCAGATGCTGAACGAGAGCAACAGCGAGAGGAAGTGCCAGACTTCGAACCTGAAGCCCGTAAGGACGACAAGAAGTGTTGCAGTCGAGGACAACGAAAAACAAGAGCAGGAGCAGGAGCAGGAGCAGGAGCAGGAAAGAACGAGAATAATATCGAGAGGAGAAAGAAACCTGAGGAACGTTGCTGTCGAAGATCTCCACGCAAGCCGGGAGAAGACAATTTCTTGCATTGATCACCTGGACACCAAGAGCTTTTCAACACCCTTGCTCCACCGTCACCTGCCTCCTTCCTCCCTGCCTCCTTCCTCCGCCCCCCTCCCTTCCATCCTCCCTCCTTCCCATTGTCTACCTCAGCTCCAAAGAGCTCCAGGGCCTTGAGAGCAGTCTCAACACACGCTGCTGCTGTCTTCGCATGCTTCCAGGTCATGCAGGTGCTGGAGGTATTGAATCACTCGCTGGCACTGAGCAGAAGGAGAAGAAGAACGCAGGGGAAGAGATCCGAGGTCTTGCAGGCAAGAGAAAGCAAGCTGGAAGAGCCAACGAGAGAGGAGGAGGATAAAGACAGGAGGGAGGGGGGGAAGGGAAGGAGGGAGAGGGTGAAGGAAGGGTGGGAGGGAGGAAGAGGACGCAGGCCTTACACGAGCACAGGAATCACGGAGGAGGAGCAATCGGCTTCGATCATCTTGAGGACAAGCTGCTGCGTCTTGGCAGAAGTCTTGGGAGAGGCGAAGCCCTTCTTGACCACCTGCTCAGCTGAGGCTGAGGAGAATTGCTGACAGGCCTGCAGGTCGAGGTCAGCTGGGGCTGGAGGGCTCTAGAGCAAGAGACTTCAGGAGGAGCAGTTTCAAGGAAGACCCGAGCTGCCTCAAGCGACCTCTCCTGCACGTTGACGTTGATGTCGGCGAGCCCCCCTTGAATGAGGGATGACGTTTCTTCCCACTCGCTGCCTGCGATAGCCTTGCCCCTGTGAGTGAGAGTCAGGACCAGGACCAGAACCAGGATAAGGACGAGGACAAGGACGAGGACAAGGACAAGGACGAGGACGAGGACGAGGACGAGGACGAGGACGAGGACAAGGACGAGGACGAGGACGAGGACGAGGACGAGGACGAGGACGAGGACGAGGACGAGGACGAGGACGAGGACGAGGACGAGGACGAGGATGAGGACGAGGACGAGGACGAGGACGAGGATGAGGAAGAACAAGAGCAGAGAGGGGGAGAGGGGCTGACTGTTGTCTTGAGGTGTAGAGATTGTATGCTAGCTCCTGTCACGGCATGTCAGCTGAGAGCAGATGGAGAGAGAGAGAGCAGGAAGAGGAAGGGAGAGTCAAGAGACGAGGAAGCAGAGCAGCTTCATGCCTGTAGTCCGTATGCCCTGATGTTCCATTTCGACGACTTGACTCTCTCTTGAAGGGTAGCTGGGCAATCCTCCGGCTGATCCCCTGGTGGAGGAGGCACAAACTCTCCTTCGTCCGCCTCTTCCTCCTCCTCCTCCTCCTCCTCCTTTTCAACCAGCTGGGGCTGAGCTCGGGAGGAAGGGGGAGCCGAACTTTCCTCCTTTGCCCTCTGCGCTTCATACCCGCCGGATGCCTGAGGCTTCTGAGGCTTCAGGGCAGACGCAGCCGGAGAGCTCACCACCACCTGCTGGGGAACAGCCGCCATGCTTTCCTCGTCATCCGTGTAGCCAGACTTTCGAGAAGAAAGCTTCGGGTATCGCTCCTCCTGCGCCATCTGCGAGCTTGGAGGAAGCTGCTGCTCGTATCTCGCCTCGTCTGGAGGCTGCTGACGCAGCTCGAGAGGCTGCTGGGCAAGAGTCGGTGTGCTCTGAGCTGCAGAAGGAAAGCCGCGGGGGAAGTTTGCGGGGTGTTGAAACATCATGCTCTGCTGCGGGGTTTGCTTCATGCCCGAGTAGTCGTAAGGAGGGGCTGGCGGGTTGCCGGGTAGAGGAGGAGGATAGCTGGGAGTGAGAGGTATCGAGTTCATCATGGGAGGGTATGCTGCACTCATGCCTCGATAAGGGTCCATTCCTGTTGGCATGGGAATAGAGGAGGAGGTCCCAGCAGTAACGGAGGAAGAGGACGAGAAGGAGGAAGCTCGTTTCAAGCATCGGACCTTATCCCTTCCCATCACGCAAGCACGACACAAAGTGGATACCACTCACCACGTCCAGCTGAAGCCTCGAAAGGAGATGCTCGGGCTCGATCATCAAGGCCCTCCGAAATGTTTCTTCGGGGAGAGTCAAGGGGAACAATAGAGCGGAGGGTAAGAGACGGTGCAAGACAAGCTCACTTCACCTTCAGCCTGATCGTAATCATTGTAGGCGAGGTAGAGTAGGAAGCCGTAGGTTGAGAGAGCAGGAACGTGGTTGGGATTCAACCGCAGCACTCTCTCCAGGAGCTACATAGTGGGACAACGGTCACTAGCCAAAACGACATCATGTACTGAACCTGTCTTGCGTGTTGATAGTTCAACCTGTAATGAGTCAGGAAGAAGGCATGACGGAACAGCATCTCCGCTTCTGCTTGCAGAGAAGGCTGCTAAAGGAAGGTCGAGAGTCAGCGGCTGGGCACTAGATCCCCTCTCGTACCTGCGTGTAGGGCGTTGAGGGGTATCGGGCTGTCGGAGTTGAGCCCATCATCCTGACTGGTGTCGTTGACATCTGCGGGAGAAGCAACACTGGTCAACTACAACACAGGCTATGGCATGCAAGTCACACCTGCGCTGCAAACCGCTCCATGTCCTGGTCCCATACCATCCTCTCCGTGTCCGTGGTCATGCTCGCGAGACCCCCACGAAGGGGGATGATGAGCCTATGTGCCCTGATGCAGCAAGGATCTTGCCCCGGGACAGAGACCCTCCGAGGATGCTGATGGAAGGGGTCATCGATGCTATGTAGCGTCAAGTTACCATCTTACCTCTGTGGAGGGGATGGAGGGTGAAGGGAGGAGCAAGACGGTCAGCGCGAGGACAGCCAGGTCTCTCATTCCTTTCCCTCTCATATGCACACAGCAGCTCATATTGATGCATCGAGTGCTGATCCCTGCGCTCCCGCCATCTTCTTCCGCCGCCGGCCCCTCACATACTCTCGTCTGGCCCCCGTTCTTCCCGCCATGGCAGGGCAGCCGTGAAAAGATTCAAAAACTACCCCCACGAGCTCGCCTCACGGTATCACATATTACTTTTGTAAAGACAGAAACTATCGCAGTAGTTTTTCTACCTAGTGAACTGGTGACGAGATGGGCCCTGGTGAAGCTCTGGAGCGGGCTTGAACCAGAGGTCACTTGGGAAGCAGAGCCATGACAGGGGAGGATAGCAAGCGTAAGGAGGAGGAGGAGGAGGAGGAAGAGGGGGAGGAGGAGGAGGATGGTTCCTGGAGAGACTTCATTGTCAACTTCTACTATGCGATGGTGAATGTCGGCATCACGCTCGGGTCTGTAGCGCTCATTATGATCGCGTACTGGCTGTTTAAATTCGCCACGGTGAGTGTTTGTGAGCATGTGAAGTATGGAGAGTCGGCAGCGTGAGAGATAGCAGAGGAAATACTTCATCATGCTGTCGTTTGACTTGAATCTCAGTGTACAGATTGCTGCTGCAACAGCTGCAACCGCGGAAGCAGCTTCTGCGCATTCCCAAGGTTTGATGGTGAGGATATCGGGGACCCGACGAGGAACTTCATCTTTTGGATGGGAGCCACGGGCTTTGTAAATTTTTGCTTGTCATACTCGATCTGGGCGAATGTCGGGAGTCCCAGGTTGTCATTCAATACCAACTTGTCCAGGGGGGCTGACTGGCTTTGCAACAGGATGTTCTTACTGTTCCCAGGGTTGGTATCAGTCTGTTTGCTCATATGGTATGGCTTGACGATCAAATGGCTGCTGTGTAAACCAGTAGAGAGACCTTCGAACAACCTCTCCAACTGGATCTCCATGAATGCATTGAACACTGAGCACGGGAGGGTTGCTATGTATTCGTCCATGGCGTACGCCTGCATCTTGCTGTTTGATTACCTGGTCAGTCTCCTCTGTTGCTGCTGCATCGAGGAGGTTGAAGATGAAGAGACGCCCGGAGCAAAGCAGAAGACGGAGTGAGGAATATTGTTTCAATTAATACATCACAATACTCTACTGGAACACTGCTATGGGAACCAGCAGCTCGGGTTCTTCACACCCGTGTTGTTGGTATGACACCCTCTGCCCTTGCGCTTTCTCTGTGTTTCTGCCCTGCAGCTGCGCGTTCAGCTGTTTCAGGAGTTGAATACACTCTGCAACACAACGGCAGGTCGCTCGAGCTCAACTTGACATTTCCGAGGCTTACAGCGCTCCCTTCCCGCTGTTCAATGCCCGCACCACGTCTTCTTGCCTGTGTCATCCTTTCCTCAAACTCCACATCTTTGCTTCCTCTTCCTCCTTCCTCTTCCTCCTTCCTCTCCATCCTCCCTCTCTCCTTTCTCTCCCTCCTTCCTCTCCATCCTTCCTCTCTCTCCTTCTCCCTGCCATCGAACTTCCCCTCGCCGATCGGGCAGACTCCACTACCCCCCTTTTCTATTTCACCACCCCAAATATGACTGGGTTGAACCCCACCCCAGCTCGGAATCAACCATGGCGCCAAAGCTGAAGGTCAGGCGAGTCATGCCCAGTAGAGGAGGGGGGGGCAGGGTCAGGGAAGGGAGGGAGGAGGAGAGAGGGAGGAGAAGGAGAGGGAGGGAGGAGGAGGGAAACCTGACACAAGAGAAGGGGAGTGGCTATGGTTAGGATGAAAGTTCGACCAGGCAGGAGGCAACCATGAAAGTGGGGAGGAACTAACAATCACAGGAGGGATGAGCGGAGGTTGGAGCAAGAGCAAGAGCAGGATAGGAAGATACTCTTGTATGTGCACTGCAGCAACATTGTAGTTGCTACTAGTCTGTTGTGACACCATCCTTCACATTCCATCAAAGAGCATTTTTTGTCATTCCCTTACTCCTCTCGTTTGAATCGTGGGTGCCATGGCAGGAAGCACTCCCCAGCGCTTTCGAGTTTGCGATCCCGCTGCTCGCAGCGCTGCTCTATGGCTTCGTCTCAGTGGCTGCAACCATCCTTACCAAGCAGGTGGTCTCGGGCTTCAGCTTCAAGTTCTTACCATTCATGATGCTGTTGGAGCGGTGTGCGCTAATGTCGGCAGAGATCCTCACCAGGAAGTCCTCCAGGAACGTCGTCGGCATCATACGCAGACTGTGGCCGCTATCCCTTGTGTCCACCATCAACACCTTCGTTGCTGTGTCGAGCTTGGAAGGCCTCAATGTCCCCATGTACAACGCACTCAAACGTCTGACGTCGATGGTGACGCTGGTGATGGAGGCGCTGGTCCTTAAGCAGTACTCCTCCTTGCAGATTCAGTTCGCGGTGGCCATGATAGCAGGAGGAGCTGTCATCGCAGCACTGCACGACCTCGAGTTCGCGCCGCTGAGCTACGCCTGGGCCCTGGCTTCCTGCTGCCTTAACGCGCTCTACCTCACCCTCGTCAAGAAATTCTGCAATCAGCTCGGATCATCGTCGGACGAGATTCTGGTTGCAAACAGCATCGTTCCCATACCCATCTTGACAGTTTATATCATCGCTTCGGGGGATCTTGGTACAACTCAGCCTTGACCCGTCAATGTCTTACTATGCTCTTTCCCATTCGCAGACAGGATCGTATCGTTCCCAAAGTGGGGCAGCTACTGGTTCTGGCTCGCACTTGTAGGATCATCGGCAGCAGGCTCGACTCTTGGTGAGTTGGAACAGCCTTACCTGCCGCGAGCTCACTCCTCCCTCCAACAGGCTTCTCTCAGTACCTCTGCACCAAGTACAGCTCGGCCCTCACGACTACGGTATGACCGTCTCTGTTAGCTCCTTCTCACCCCAAGAGCAGGTGGTTGGGCAGATGAAGATGGCTCTGTCAAGCTCCTTGGGTATAATTTTCTTCGGAACTAAGGTCAGCCAGTTCAGGCTCCCCTCGGACTCACAAACGTCTCTAATTCCTTCTATCCTCAATTCTATCCTCCTTCACTCCTTTAGTCTCATCTATACTCTCTCAATCCTCCCCGAGTCTCCTTGCCTGATCCCCAGCAACCCCCCTCCCCCCCCCCCAATGCTTTCATTTCCACGTCAGTCCTTCCCACTTTCCCCCCTCCCCCCTGCAACCTGACAACGATGCAGGTGGAGAATATGCAGGCTGTAGGTCTGATCATCAACACCATCGGGGGATTCTACTTCGGGTGGAGGAAGCACTACGAGGCCCAGCAGAAGAAGCGATAGGACGAGCCGCATGCTCCTCCCACTTTGACCTTGGGACCTCACGACTACAGCTCCCCATCGGCTCGACGGGAATTCCTCTGATTGGGAACCTGGGTTCAACCCATACAAGCACACTCACGACCAGACTTTGGATTCTGCAACTTCTTTCTCCCCTCTTCTTAAGTTCCCACGTACCTCCCAGCAATTATAACACAGTACAGCAAAGCAGCAACTCCTCGAGCGCTTTATCTCTCCTTCTTTGAATTCTTGACTATTTGATCCCAGTTTTCGGCAAACTGCAAGAAAAGTCAATCACAGTCTTGACATCGACCTTAGCGCATTCACAACCTTCCTGCTGTATCCTTTCGTCTTCCCGCCTGACGAGAAATCCAGAGGCACCGGGCAACCGTTGATCTCTGGCAACAGTCGCAGTCAGCTAGTCTCTTGACCCTTGCGCACACCTGGGTTCGCCATCACACGGTTCACTTCTTGTCGCACATCCTGCATGCCTGTATGGAACTCGTCAGCCCCGGCACTCTGGTCCCTTTCCTCCACCTGTCATGCTCTCGCTCGCTCTGATCTGCTCTGCCGTTGCCTTGATCTCAGGAACGGATGGAAGGGAAGGATCCTGGAAAGGAGGGTGGATCAGTAGACGCGGCGGGGGAACGAAGATAATCTTGCATTTGAAGACAAAAATCTCCTCGCGATGGCAGACTGCAAACTTCTCCTCAGCGCCTGCATCGACTGAAAGAGGAATGAGCGAAGTTGTTGGTCGTGATGCCAACAGCAGCAGCACACGACAAGGAGAAGATGCGAAACTCATTGAGAATGAGTGATGAGGAGGCAGGGAAGTGAGAGATCACGGTAAGAGAAAGGAACCGCTAGGTGAAAACACACGGAGAGACGAATAAAGTAACTGATGCCGCAGCAAGGGAGGGAAGCGAGCGTGAAGATGCGAGGATCACAAGAGAGGTAGGGGAAGGGGAAGTTAGAGAAAGGAGAGTTGCAAGCAAGCAAGCAAGCAAGCAAGGAGGAGGAGGAGGAGGAGAGGGAGGGGGTAAGGCTACACAGGGACGCCCGACCATGATCGCGTTTGTGGGGGCAAAAAATATCACTCAACTATTCTAGCAAAAGGGACAAAGTGGGGACGAGGGACAAGCATTGCGCTATGGCATGATGCAGCAGACGCATGTAGTGGGGGGAGGAGGAGGAGGAGGAGGAGGAGGTCAGAGATCGAGTGAGAGGAAGATGGACAGAGGGGAGCACATGCATAGAGAAGACGACGCGACGACGATGCGACGATGATGGTACCCCTGTACGACATGACGGTACTTGAAAAATGAGGTAGAGGCTTGGGCCAGGCAGCCCTCAAGTGATTGTGCATAGTCATATTGGATACAGACAGTAGCAACTGCGATTGTGGTCTACGTAGTGAGCAAGAAATCGCTGCCCACAACTCCACGATTTGTGGTTATGGTGCCGTGCGCTCGACCGGCCCTGGCAGTCCTGACTGGACAGTTCGTGTCGCTGCTCCTGGTTGGGACGAGCGTGACATCGGCGCTGCTGGTTCACAGGTGAATACGTGATTTTGATTGCTTCTATTCTACTATCTACTTGATTGAAGTACACTTTTCTTACATCACTACTTCTCATTCGTTGCAGAGGTTTCGAAGCACCGATGTTCATGAGTTGCCTCAACTATGCATTCCTTGCGGTGGCTTATGGCTCCTGGTATCTTCTGAAAGGACGGCATCATCATGACCTGTCATGGAAACACGACAAGTCAACCATGATCAAGTTCGCCATCCTTGTCTTGGTATTGGGAGCCTGCTTCGCAAAGCTTCATCTTGACAAACTTGATCAGGCGGATGTTGAGGCCAACTATCTGATAGTGAAAGCATACCAATATACATCCATTATCAGGTCATCGCAGATCTGTGTTCTCATCTCATCTCACTCATGCTTGTATGCAGCATCACTCTGTTGGATTGCTTCACCATCCCGACCGTAATGCTCCTCTCGTACCTCAACCTTGGTTGTCATGTGAAGTGAATGCAACGTGGACTGACGGGCTGGCAGGCTCCCGGTACACCATCACTCACGGCATAGGAGTTGCCTTTGCCCTCGGAGGACTCTTCACCCTCGTCCTCATCGACTTCAGCAAGGCTGAGGAGGCAGGAGCAGGGAATGGCTCCGTCATACTGGGGGATTCTCTCACCATCATCGCCGCTTCCTTGTATGGTGTGTCCAACGTCTTGCAGGTCTTTGTGGCGGGGCAAGAAGTTGTCTCTCTGACGCGATGAACATTCAGGAAGAGCTCGTCTGCCGGTATGGATGGCAGCTTGTTGTAGCAATCATTGGGGTAATACCTTGGTTGCATCTGGTTTCTTACCTCATGCTGCTGTCGAAGGTGCTCGGAGCTTTGGTTTCTTCGGTACAAGTTCTTGCTCTTGAAAGAGAAGAAATTGCAAACTATTCGGTAACTCTTCCATCACAAGTTAACGCCCTCAAGATCCGATGACCTTCACTGCAGTGGAGTGGAATAGACGTGGGATTAATCTTTGCCTTCGTTTTCTGCCTCTGTTCCATTTATACGATCGTACCCCAGGTGATATGCTTGCCCTTCTGCCTTGCATGTCAAATCATGTTCACTTCACAAATATGGCAAACATGGCCGAATGCTTGTCGCCGTCCCACGCTTGATGCTGTCAAATATTTGTCCCAGTCCTGCACTCTGTTGTCTGTTATCTTTCAATCAATTTAAACTTCTCGCAGGTCCTTCTACGAACCGGAGCAGCGTTCCTCAACATTTCCATCCTCACGTCCGACTTCTGGGCAGTGGCCTTCGGAGTTTCAGTCCTCAAGGTATGCCGCTGCCTCCCCTCCTGCTCGCCAAGAAGTGAAACGTGGGTTGCAGGAAAATCCTTCTTCCTGGTATTATGTTTCCTTCGTGTCTACGGTAGTGGGACTATTCATTTACCACGCTCGTGGGGAACCTCATCGGTCTTTGGATATAGAAAGTGCTCAAGTCACCTTGCAAGACGACCAAGGCTGTGTGGACACAAGTCACAACTGCGATGATGATGCCCGAATGCTGATCCAGAATCAAGACGATGTAAATTAAAACGCACAATTGTTCACTGACGAGTAGATCCCGACATCTTCATGAGTAATGAAACTTTTTATTGACTTTTTGAAATACATTGATGACCTAACCTTAAAAAAAAGAAAAGAATACATTATGAAGGCTACGAAGCTGAAGAGGGTTGAGAGTGGTAAGTCTTTACCACTTCAAGATCATGGTGGACAAGTGTCGAGTGTCGAGTACAATTTGTGGTAATGTGACAGAGGTAGAAGACTGTGTTAGAGGTCCTCTTAGTTGAACATTCCCTTGGGGTCATTTGTTCGTCTGATCCATTCGTTGCTGTGCTCACAAGCCCAACTTTTCAGTGGGCCATGCTTGTGATCGCATTGGTCACATCGCACCATGAAAGGGCCTTGTGGCCCATCCCATCCTCCTTCTTTCCCTGAGCATTTGCTGCCTGACCCTGTGCGGCCGGGCTTCCATTACCAACGAGCATCGTGAAGTAAGACTCGTAATCCTCGCGGGTGATGTTCAGGCCGAACCCCATCCGGAACAGAAACTCGAGCTCGAGGCAGTTCAGCTCCTGCAGGCTGATCCCACCAACCTCAGCCCAGTGCTTGTTGGAGTAGTAGAAGTCGTCCAAGAACTTCGCAGCAGTCATCACTGCCACCAGGTACAGCCTCTGGAAGTTGCAGGAGTTCAAACATACACTGTGGTTCCTCCTCTTCAACCGTTCGAGGTACATTAAACCCACAGCAAAGCAGCACGGGCTGCACCCACCATATCTGTTGATGCGCCGGACATATGCAGAGGCTGCGATGGGAGCATGACTTCCTTCGAAAGCCACCAGGTCCGACTTCCTTCCATTCGAATCGTTCCGTGCAACAGTGCAATCCAGAACACAGGCGATGACCTCGACAAGTTGCTCCTGCTTTTGGGCATCGAGCTTCATCGCCTGAACCAGTCCCCTCATGCAGATGCCGTGTTGCTCGATAGGGAAAGTATGCTCCAACCCGGTTCTGCCTTGATGCTCCTGCGTAGCACTCATTTGAATTGATGCCTGGCTAACAGGTCCGGGGGGGGCGGATACATCTTCCATTTCAACATCGACTTGGCTCTTGCAAAAAGACATCCTTCAAGGCTTGTGGTAACAAGAAAGATTGCAAAATGTACAGCGTGAGTCCTGTGCTAAATGACAACGGCGGTAATGCAGGCGCGAAGGAGTTTCAGGGGGAGGCTAGACTCAAACCCTTCAAAGAGGAGCTCGTTGGAGCTACCGGATGAAAGAGTCTGCTGATATGAACGAGACAGCAAGGAGAGACTTGTTCCAGCGACAATGGGCAAGCAGAGGAAGAGCAAGGTAGCGAAGCACAACAGGAAGGACGGACAGATTCCTGAGGGGCTGTGAGAGCGGGAGGGGTATAAGTGCCAAATGTGGGGTAGGGTAGTATACATACAAGGGAGGGGTGCTCTCCTGAGTCCGGTGTGCAGAATGGGGTGGTGGGGTACCTCGGCACCAGGCGGCACAAAGGCTGGGGAATATTAAATCCTGGGGTAGAGGGATCCTTGGCAAACCAAAGACGGGTGGGTAGTGAGAAGGAGAAAAATCAAGGGTAGGGTTAATTTACTGTCTATCATTGGGGGTTGAAGAAATTGATTTTCAGGGGTAAGGGGTGGGGGTACTTTGATTGCTGGGATAAGAGATACTGCCATATTAACTGCAGCGAACATAAGAGATATCTGACAATATACCACCCTGCAGAGTTGATTGATGGACGTGTGGATGGGGTACTTTCGGGCTGATATGTGGTATGCTAACCAATTTTACTATAATGATCGACTTAGAGAATATGCAAGGAGGGCCGTACTGTCTTTACTTGTGAGAGTCTAACCTTGGGTCCCGCTCAGGTGATTTGAGGGTGGGTAGTCTTGATGGATGGTACGGGGTAGGGATCAAAACTGAAGCCAGGGGTAGGGTGGGGGAACTCATTTTCGAATTCGAAACTGACATGTGGTGATGACCCACGCCTTGTAGCAACCATCAGTGGGTGGGGGTGATGGACCCTACCAGTGAGAGCTTTCCAAGTAAGAAATAAGGGTCCTGTCATCAGAGGGGCACAAAAGGATATGAACCGGTGTAGTTGATTGGTATTTGATGAAGAGTGGGTAGGGTTTACAAACCACCGGTTATTTTTCCTGTTCAATCGCCGGTACTACAGTGAAATCATGCCATTAAACTCGTGATTGACCCCACCCTACCCTATCCGACTCCCCCTTTCTTCCAAGGACTAAACTAAAAAGTTGTACAACCTGCACCGTCTGCACCCCACAACTCAACTTCTCTCGTGCGACTCATAAACCCAAAGATAAGTCATGAGTAGGGTAGGGTCCTGAGAAAGATTATCACTACCGGTACATATACCAGGATTTGTATCTTGATGACCTGGTAGGTGGTATGCGAATGTTCTATCTGTACCCTGCAATAGTGACAGGTTTCTCTGTGGTAAAGAAAGGATTTTTTGTTGAAAAGAGTAATCTTCGAGGTTATACAAATAGAAACAACAATTTTTCAACAAATTGAGAGTCGAAAACACTCCATATCACCCAGATTTTGCTACAACTTTGACCACATTTGACCAAGCACGTATAAGGGAAAGGGGGCGATAAACATGTACCCCTGCTCCACACCATTCCAATATTGAAAAAGTGTGGGTGGGTGAGATAGATTCATAAAAGTTGAGAATTGATGGGCCGTGACGTCTTCTTTACCACACACAGGGCACCTCTGCACGAGTTCGCGGCTCGGAGTTCGGCAGACACCGAAGCCCGTGCACCGGCCCGGGTGCGACGGCCGGGTGCAAAGTCGGTCCGGGGAGTCAAGCCCCGGGCCGGCAGACACTGAGAAGCCGGGCCGGTACCCCCTGCGCTTGCCCTGCCCGATACATGCAGTAGCCGCCATGTTGGTGGGAGGGTGTGGGAGGAAGGGGCGACAAGATCGAGCGCTGGCCGCATCGCTCTGCTTCACCTTGTGTCTCATCTCGCCATGCCCAGCCTCAAGCTTCCTGTCACCTCAGGCAGTCTGGTCGGGGAAGAATGAGGAGGCTATGTTCAGGTGCCAGGGCATGGCAGGATTGCGAAGATTGTTCCTTCCGTGGAGCGCGCGAGGGCCAGGTTCTGTGTTGAGGGGGTCGATGAGAGGAGAAGAAGAACCATCGTCTGTCAGGATGGTGAGCTCTCCATGCTCTGTCTTGCTCCTAGGGCGCTCTCAGTGCTGAATTCAAACGCTCGCAGGTCCTCCCGGCCCGAATCATCAGGTTGGGAGTGTGCGAGTTGAGATTGTGAACGGATGAGCCTTCAGGTGTCCGTGCTGCTATGGAGAGTGCTCGCCCTATGCAGCTTTCTGCGGCAAGGTACGAGAACCAACCTGACGGCGTTCGGCTAGCCTGCTCGACCTTTGACTGGGAGTTCAGTGTGGGGAGCCCATGCTCGGAGATGCGAAGGTTGGATATTGGACTGTAGACGAGGCGAAGTATGCAGCATGAAAGATGTTCACATTGACGTCTTGACTGATTCGTGCTCTTCAGGAGTCAACAGATCTCGAACTATCAGGTGCACACACCGACAGGTCTGGTGTTGTGTCTTCCACTGACGTATCGGTCAGCTTGGAACATCTTCGTGCGGCCCTTGCTCTGTCCTCAATGCAGTCGCGATGATCGGTAACGTTGCTGATGTCCAATCTCTTGTTGATCGTGCCATGGCAGGAGAAACGCCGACATTGGAATCAACCAAGAAAGGCAAAGCAAGGTGGAGCGTACTGAATGGTTCTGACACGACCGGCAGATCTCTTGGACAGACTGCTGTCTCTGGTGAAGAAGAGGGAATGCGACGAGATCGGATCTCGTTGTAGACATCATAGCCTGGTCTCTTCAAGGTTCTTGACGCTGTTCGCAGTGCTGACGGTGCTGACGGGTTTTTCTTGCAGCGAATGCAGCGCGTCACTGAGGGAATACCTAGTAGGAAGAAGCTGCTGCGGAGGAGGAGGAACGGAAGCTATCATGAGTGTGGTCGGGACTGCTTGTGGCAGTTGCCTGGGCTGGCTGAGAGTGTCGCAGGTGGAGGAGGTATGCCCGAACGTTGTCGGGGCAGCCGTGCACGTCGGGGCGGAGCCGGTGAAGGCTAGCGGGAGCTTGAGAGAGTTCCTTGTCAGATGGATGATGGAGGGGGCCTCGATCACGATGACTTTCAACAGGTGTGCGTGTTCTCTTGTGGAAGAATGCTGAATCTGACGACTGACATGCCGGCGGCAGGCAGCAGGTCTGGAAGCACCAGACCAGTCAGCTCGCGGCTGCAGGGAAGGAGAGGACGACGGAGACGTACCCCGACTCATGGCATGCTCAGGCAGAGGACACCAGGAGGATGCGTCGATCTGCTCTAATGCGATGAGCAGGCCATCTGCTCGGTAGATTTGCAAACTGGTGACATCCTCACAACAAACCCCATCAAGGTTTGAACAATCCAGAGGAGATTTCGAAGATCTTCCCCATTGATTCTCTTCCTCCCTCGTACCTCCTCCCTCCTCCTCTCCTCCCTCCCTCCCTCCCTCCTCCCTCCCTCCTCCCTCCCTTCCTCCCTCCTCCCTCCCTCCCTTGTTCTGTTTCCAGATCTTGTCGGTGCAAGATGTCGAGGCCTGGCTTCCTTCAGAGGCGTCACTGTACTTGCGGGGGAATGAGGTGGGGAGGAACGGAGGAAAGGAGGAGATGCTGCTAAGACGAACAAGGTCCTCTTTCACTGCAAACAAGATTCAGACGAGGTCGTCAAGGCAATCCAGTGGCCGTCAGCGAGCTGGGAGGACATGCAGGTCAAGGAGCAGGTGAGAGCCCCCTCGATCAGCTTGCATCAGCTGAGGAGGTACAGATCCTGTCCCTCCGCAAACTTTACCCTGGGGAGAGGTGGAACGAGGCTAAGGACAGTTGGGTAAGTCTGACGAGCCTGGAGATCCCTGCTCTCTATCTCTCTCCTCTGCTATCCCCTTCTCATCCTACAGCGAACTCACCTTCACCGATGCGGCAGGTGAAAATCCCCTACGCTGGGACGGGGGAAAATGTCGGGCCCTGCCTGAGGCTTTTTGCACCACGACAATCGGAAGCAGGTAATGAAATCGTGGCGGTAGAGAGAATGACAGAGACGATTGTGGTGATGATGGCGATGATGAGGAGGAGGATGATATTGATAACGATTATAATCGTATGATGTTTTTGAGCTGCAGGGCGACGCATTCTGGCATCTCGTGATGAGCAGTACAGGATAATGGACAACTTTCTTGTCCCATGAACTCGTCACAAAGATCAAGACTTTCCACGATTTCTTCTTTCTTACCAGCCTATTGCACCTCTCCCTACCTCTTTCCCGCTTTCCCTCCCGCACCTCCCCCTCACTCCCACTCTTTCTGTTATTCCCAACAAGTTTGAAGTCCTCCTTAACATTATCTCGTATAATAGACATCAACAAAAACATTTCTCCTGTTAGACCTTATGACATAGCTTTAATACGCTCCGGAAGCCGCCGCGATGAAGTTGGGGTTGGAAGGAAGATCTTGACCTGCAACATGGTCACTATCCCTTGCACCTGACGCTCCGACCTCACCGTCACTCGTGCTCCTCCAGGTCCCATCTAGCTTGTGGCCTGGTACCTGCTCCCAATCAGCTCAACCTTTAGCCTCCTTCAATCGCCTACCGGGTCAGGGAACCTTCCTGTAAAATCCGGCTTCGAGGGCTCAACCATTTGAGCAGGAGGTGGAGGTGGTGGTGGAGGAGGAGGGGGCGGGGGCGGAGGAGGGGGAAGTGGCGGAGGAGGAGGAGGCTCGTAAGGTTGAGGGTTGACAGGAGGGGGAGGGGGAGGGGGAGGGGGAGGAAGAGGAGGAGGAGAGGGTGGAGGGGTGGAGGGATATGGTTCAGCCCTCTGGATGATCCTGACACGGCGGATGATGCCCTTAGCAGCGTCGAGGGGGCGGCGATCGAAGACAGGGATGAGAGGAGGAGACGGCCGAGAGAGGACGCGGATGCTCCTAACGATGGACGTGATGTAGTCATACAGCGACTTGTAGTGGATTTGCTGCACATCGGATCAGGGCAGCGGCTCCGGGCTACCGCAACTCACCTCCACCACTCGCTCGTTATTGATCTCACCCTGAAGCACCCTGCGACAACAACCATGTGAGAAGAGTCAATGATAAGGGTGTTGTGCGAGTTCTCAGGGCATCAAGACGGAGTCTAGGAGGATGAAACATGAGCATCGGTCATCACCGGAGCTTCCTTTCAGTGTCGTCCTTCTTCCTCGAGTGCTGAAAGGCTCCGATCAGCACGCGCGAACAACGCAACATCAAGCAACGACACCTCTCGGATGATGATTTCTCGGACAGGAAGCCGGGGCTGCGCCACCTCCTGCATGTGGACCTCGACGTTCCTCTGCGGGGCTCTCTCGACGACGTACCTCCTCAAGACACTCTGCCTCTGCGCTGCCTTGGGCATCACGAAGTCAAGGTTGACTCCTCCCTGCTGAGGAAAGTTGGTGACGCGAGCCGCAGGAAGGTAATTCACTGTCTTGGCACGAGGAGCCTCTGTGAGTGGCTGCTGGAACGAGGCCCTTTCTCCTTTGTACATGCTCACGGGCATTTCAACCTCTTCCAATGGCACCGCTACCTCCTTGACGGGGATAGCTACCTCTTTCAGAGGAACCTCTGCTCCTTGCTGGATAGCTACCTCTTTTAGAGGAACCTCCGCTCTTTGCTGGGGGACCATGGGGATCTCTGCTTGCATGTCTCCCTGCCGGAAGTAGCTCTCAAGATCCTTGGCGTCCTGTTCCGGGTAGATATGTCGGATGATGGCATACTTGAGTGTAGGGCTGATATGCTGCAGCCGCTCGGCTAACTGACCATATGAGCCTGTCGGTTGCGCGCTTGACGAGAACAGCAAGTCTCCTCCTGGATAGTCCCTGCTCAGCAAGAGAGAGGTGGAGGCCCCGACATCTCTTCTATGGAGCCATGCTGCGCTCGCAACCACCAGCAACAGGACGGCAGCGCTGAGAGCTGCTTTCAAACCCTTCCTGTTCCTCGAATCTTCAACCATGATGGGGAGTACAGGATCTCAGACTCGAGCAGACAAGTGTACACCTTCTCTCTTCTCTCTCTTCTCTTCCGATGACGTCCCTCTGCGATCAACCCTCGACCATCCGTCCTCACCAGCGTTGCCGGAAATAGCAAGCCATTCCCGTCTGTGCCTAATTCCAAGGTGGGGTGGGTGACGATTGTATGGGGTAGGGGTGTAAAATTGAAAGACTATGACCACCGATCTTTACCAAAAAGTGATTTGAATGAGGGGGTACTACTCCATTCACAGAGGGTGGGAGTAAAATTTCAGGGGTACTGCACAAGGCTTCCGCGAATGTTGGTGGTCCAGGCCCCGGCGTACTGGAATTAACCAGGGACTCGAATTACCGTACATGACACTGAAATGACAAGCCTCCTCGACTCTCCTGATTGTCCTCGTACTGATTTTTAACTTAACTTTGAGTAAAGTGTTTGACCCGGTACCGTAGTAACGAGTCGGCCCACGGTGACTCAGTCGCTGCGGCAGTGTCCGGCGACATTGATTGCAGTGCAAGCCTCCGCCGGCCCGGCGGCCGGCGGCCCGCTACTCTCCAAACGAACTCCGAGGCTCTCCTCTCACTGATGATTCAAAATCCGACATCATGCCCCGTGACAGGCTTTTCGGTCCGATCACTGGCACTGGTTGTTTGAGGGCCGGGCCGGAGTTGACAGTGAGTGACCGTCACAGTCCATACTTGAACTCCGATCATGGCACTGTGGCGTGTAACTTATTACAAAACTTCAATACGAAAGAGCAAACTGCCGGCCGCAAGGCCCCCGAAGGCTTCAGACTAGCGTGCTTCCTTGTCGCGGAGGCTGGGAGGCGCTAGAGGCTGTCGGAGGAGGGAGAGGAAGCGAGACTGAATGAGGCAGCAGACCCCCGCCAAGGGCCCCCGGCGGGTTGTGGAAGCTGAGGAGAGGCTGACCGTGAGGGCCTCCGAGCACAACTGGGGAGCTGACGACCAGTGGCTGACTGCTACCGCCCCCGCCGGCTCCATGGCCATTCGCAGACTGAGATGTCATGGACATTTGCATCGTGCTGGAGTGGTTGGCCGAGGCTAGCGCGGCTTCCCATTGCATGGGCAGGGCAGGGCCCCCATTGCCCTCAGGCTTGTCCTCCGCCGCCCCCAAGGTTGAGAGCGTCTTGACCTACAGGGTAGCCCCAGTGACGTCGCTGGCAACACAGGGCAAGGGAGGAGGAGAGGGATGGAAGGGGTGAGGGTCGGCACCTGATGTTTGACAAGGCTGCCGTGGAGGAGCAGGAGGAGGAAGGAGACTACTTGGATCCCGAGGGCAATCCAGCCCAGCGGGGACTTGACGACCCGGTAGACGTTACTGCGGAAGATTCAATGAAGGGAGGTTGTAGGGGGGAGGATGCAGCACCCGTAGAGCGGAGGGACGGAAGGGTTAGTGATGTCAGTCACGAGGGCTACGCTCTAACAAGGTGAAGCTCGTAAGAGGACGAGGAGATGGAGATGGAGATGGAGGGAAAGAGAGGAGTGGTGATGGGGACTGGGGAGGACACGTGGGGAAGGAGGACGTAGAAGATTCTGGTGAAGGGAGGAGAGAAGAAAAGATGGGGAAGAGGCGGGGAGAGAGGAGGGAAGGAAGGCAGAAGGACCTCAAAGCAGCCGCTGCTGTCAATGCTGAAAATCCAGAAGCTGACGATGCCAAGGACAGCAGAAATGAGGAGGATAGACTTGGACCTGTAGAGGGTATCAGGAGGAGCCATAGCAGGAGAGGCGTGACATGATCGATAGCCTTTCCCATTGCGACAGCCGAGCGATTTGATCCTTGACCTCCTGCATCTGCGTGTCGTACTCCTTCACGTCCTCCTCGTCGGGAATCGATTCAATCTCCTCCCGGTGTGCATCAATGAAGTCGGCGAGGTACAGCATGAACCCGACTCCCGTCCCCATCAGCCCGATGGAGGCGAGGAGGAGGAAGATGGTATTGAGCGATGGCCAGATCCCATTGGGATCTGCTGCTGCCTTGTACATGCCAGCTCCAGTCATGACGGTAAATGCGATAGGGACGATGATTGGAAGGGTTCCGATCTGCATCTCCACAACTGAGCAGTGAAGGATGCCTGTCAAGACACTGGTCGGCCAGTCCTGCTCGTATCGGCGTGGTTAGCGCCGAAGAGGAAAACAAGGGGGAGGAGGAAGAGGCAGGAGACAGCAGAGGCAGGAGGAGGCAGCAGGCACCAGAGGCAGGAGAGGCAAGAGGAGGAGCCCGGAGGGAGCAGGAGCAGGAGCAAGGTCGAATAAGAGGAGTTGCCCACCGGTCCTCCAACGAGGAGCATCACTTTGCCCACGGACATCCCTTTCTTCGCCAAGATGACCTTGATGGCCTTGATAGTCTCGCTGTTGATGCCAACCATTGATCGGATCTTGACGCTTTTCCCCATCATCTCCCCGAACACTTTCTGCTGCAGCACGCATGCGAGCTGCTTGCAGAGAGCTGCCACGAAGATGGCGAGGAGGCAGGCGAGAGCGAACGAGTTGAACTGTCTCTCCCCAGCAGAAGCTATCAGGACGCCGCAAGCGACGTAGGCCGGGACACCGGGGACAACCGGGATGGCGAAGAGAAATAGGCCGATGACGAGGATGAGGAAGGAGATGAGGAAAACGTTCAGCCCCGCCAGCTTGATGTTGAGCCATGCCAGGAAGAGGGTGACGCAGATTCCTGCCCCTACCTGCAGCACGAAGTAGGCAAGGCTCCACTTGGTGACCCACGAGAGGATCACAGTCCAGTTCCACTTGCTCGCCTTCAAGAGGAAAGCGCGATACCTGTCTGTGAAGAGGGAGGACGGGAAGCCTAGAGCTGCTCCCGCCCCTCCCCCTGATGCTGCCGGGTCCTGATGGAAGAAGACTCGCCTTACGGCTTGATTGACCACGGAAAGCATCAGGAACAAAGGAATGACGGGAGAAAGCACGAGGATTGCAAACCCTTTCCCTCCGTCGCTCGCCGCCTGAAAGGTTCTCAGCGCCCATGGCGATGCAAGTAGCCAACTCTTACCATCCTCCTGAAGCTCTGCGATCCGCACAAGACAGCGAAAACATGAAACAAGTCAGAAAGGACGCGGAAGCGAGGATTTTGGGGAAGCAAAATGATGCCATGGAAGATTTGGAGAAATGAGACTGAGACTACTGAGAGGAAATCCATCGAGAACATGTCACATCACCTTCAAGGCATTGTTTGCCGTCATCTTGCCAGTGATCTCATCTGGCCCGATCACACCCACCACGATCCCAACGAGCATAGCAATGCCGATGACGGCAAAAGAGAAGACGATGCTCGAGACTTGCATGGAGGCGCAGGTGACGGAGGTTGCAACCCACAGCAAGAAGATGAAAAACCCGAGGGTGTAGAGAAACATCTTGGCTCTCTTGCCAAAGACTTTCTGTCTGCTCTGGTTCTTGAGGAGCGTGCTGGAAAACAAGAAGAAGGCGAGGCCAATGAAGACGATGAAGACGGATATGAGGTATGTAGACGCCCACAGGAGGAAAGCAGCAAGGCACTCTGCCTTGCTCGGATCGCAAGCAGAAGCAGCAACATCCTCGGTACAACCAGCTTGACACTGATACCCGGTGAAGCCGTAGTCAGAGCAGTACTGACTCCTCTGCTCCTTCACACAGACTCGCAACCTTGCCCGGAACGTCAACTGGGTCTCCCTTCCCCACCAGAAGTTGTTGATCCCCGACCAGATGAGAGAGACGGCAATGCCGATGACGCCTGCTGCCACAAGCATGCTCGAGAGGATGTTCAAGAACAGGATGACATCCATGGATCCTGCAACGCAGCTGCAAGTCACAGGCAGCGCAGGCAAAAGAGGTCGGGCATGAGGGGCAGGGCACAGGTGCAGGCAAGTGTCTGGCATGCGTGCACATCAGCAGGCTCACCAAAGAATCGCAGACGAATGAGGGTAAAGTACAATGATCCAACGACAACGTATGTGAGCAACGGGGCTTGAGGTTGGGTCTTGAACGACAGGACTGCGCTGATGAGCACGGACGCGAGCACAATCATCATGAGCAGGTTCTTGACCGCAAGGAAAGCATGCTGATCGCAGCATTTTGATCTTTCCGCGTTACTTGAGCTGTTCAAGTCAAAGACGTACATTACCACGAACACGGCAAAGCCAACTGCAGCAGCTGCAGTGCTGTACGCATACCCTCCGATCAGCCCTTTGAAGACTGATGCCCCGAATCCAATCTCACTAAAGAGTAGGAAGAAAGATGCCAATACACAAATAACATGCGCGAAGATGAAGGCCTTGATTCTGATCAAAGATTCGTTTTCACCTATCATTTCTTCGACTTCCTCCTCCTCCATCGCCATGCTCCCCGGTTCTGCTGCTGCGGAATGCGTGAAGCCATGAAGCGCTTGCATCCTGCCTCCTGCAGGAAGATCATTCAGGCGTGTGAAATAGACTAAAGCAGCTGATCCCACTATTGTAAACCCACCTCGCCAAATCTATCCAGAGCTATCGAAGATCTACTGGTTCATTTTTTCCTGTCGGGCTCGTGTCTCGTAACCATGGCTAGATAGGATCTCAGGCTTCTTGCTGCCTGTCTGACATGATTCGCGGCTCATCCACTGCCATCTCAAGCTCTGCTGCTCAGCAGCTCACTCATTCGCCCTCCCCCTTCTCCTTCTCTTCTGCCCTGCCCTATCTTGGATCACCCGACAACAGCAAAAGCGTGGACTACCCGTCCTTTTCACTGTTTTCTGTGTGGAGATTCGACAGGGTGGGGTGAAATGAGATGAATTTTAACTTCCACAAATTTTTTTGTCGCTGCCTCTTCTATTGTTCCTATATCTCGTTGAGGCGGATTTGTTTTCTCTATTTCCCTACCTAGCTTGCTGTTGTTCGTTAATTCCACTTGAGTAAAAGATAAAAATGCCATGTTATCTCACCCCACGTTCCCCCCACGCACTCAAGGACGCGAGCGATGGCGTGAAGGCCGCAGAGCCGATCCTGGTCGTATCATGCCAACGGAAGAGCACAGCAAGTCTGGAGATGCCTGGCCCCGCATAATCAGCTGAGTGCTGCTTGACGACGCATGCCTCCATGCTCTCGATCCTTCGATGATATCTGAAGACAAGTGGAGGATATGACGACATGGAGAAGACACAAGGAGCGTTGGGGATGATTGAATGGGCCCAAACAGCACAGGTAATACGAAAGAAGAGTTTAGAAGAAGAAGAGGGGAGAACACTAGCGGGTTGAGTTTCAGCCGCACTCAGTACATAGTGTGAGCTGGTTGGTAAACACCCCCTACAGTAACCGACAGCAATGATTTCAAGATGCAAGAAACTTCAAGTTGTTAGCTGAGATAAGTAGTTCAGAGCACATAGATGAAAGAGGAGGGGGTCCCTCATAGCATCAACGATGTGGTTCGATAGTCTGAAGTGGGCTTCTAACCGTTCAAGTTCCAAACCGATTAGTCTCCTCGTTACTTGACAGCAGAAAGATCAGATCTCGATACTGCAGGGTTTGCAGGGGAACACGCCACTCCTTGATCTGTCACGAATCAGCACAGAGCTCTACCTGGCACCCCACTCAGCCCTTGTTGGCTTCATTGGCGATCAGATAGGCAAACAACAGCAGACTGGCCGGCAAATCATCCTCCTGTCATGCTAGTCTAACGTCGAAGACTGACGTCGAAGCAGCAAGGCGGATGGACAGCAGGAGACGGGGGCGAGCGCGGGAGCAAGGTGTGTCGGGAAGCGCATAGGGAAGTCGAGGGTACGCAGCCCGCCATCGGGGGCAGGGTAATAGGAGGGGAAGCAGGGATGGGCAGGAGCGGGGATGGGGATTAGCAAGTCACTGGTGCCGTCATGCCGTACAAATCTTTCGCCTTTTACTAAAGATTTCCGTGGTGGCGCCAGGCTATGACCAAAACCAAATTTTTGAAGCGCGAAAGCGCAAACATGCGAAAACAAACTGAAGATTATGATGGTGATGAGAAATGATGGCAATTAAGGTGATCAGAGGTAAACATTCAGTATGTTTGTGTGGTATCTATGTGGATTAGACCACAGAGCAGATTTGATGATGTCGTCTTTTGTGTTTTAGTGTTGTGTCTTGAGATTGCGGAGGGATGGAGTTCGATATTGCGACAGAGCTGAGATAATTATGGGTGAGGATCTGATGTTGTGAGAGAGGGAAAGAACTTATGGCTATCTGTATGAACCAGATTGCTCTCACGTCCTCCCTTTCTGGCTGCTCTCTCGCTTCTGTCTTGCTGTCCTCTCATCTTTGCTTCTTGTTGTCTGGGGTGAACAAGCTTCGGTTTGCATGCTTTCATTGTATCAAGTAAAATTAAACTTAAAACATCAGGATCTATAACGCCCTCTCATGTACAAGAATAAACCAGAGGCTGCTGCAGTCGACTTGAATTCCTTTAGAGGATGATGGAATGATGCGATGTCTGCGCCTCCTCCTCCTCTTCCTGCTCCTCCTCCTGCTCCTCCTCCTTCCCCTTACCCTCACCCTCAGATTGTAGGTAAGCGAACATTCCAGAAAACATCCCGTTAACGTCAATGGGACTCGCGGCTCCTGCTTCTGGCTGACTGTTCTCCCTCTGTAAGGAGCTCTGGGGCACAAAGGCCTTGGGGGACTCAGTCCTCCTTGCCGCCCCTTCTCCTCGCTCGATGGCTGATAGCAGCGGCAAGCTGCCGCGGGAGGAGGCGCGGGAGGAGGTCCGCCTCTTGACCAGCGTCTCCTTGGGGCTCCTGGCCTGAAGGACATTGTCGTCGAACACAAGCTGCCCGATCGACGAGATCTGTAGAGGAAGCTCCAATTTGGAAGTAGGCTCCACAGGAGGGCTCGGAGTTCGAGACTGGCTTGGGATTCCTGCCGCCGGCAGGACGTCTTGACTGGAAGGCTCCGAGTCGGGGGGGGCGGGAGGTCGAGGAGAAGGAGGCGTGGGGGCGTCCACAGGAGCTGAGGGTCCTTGCGACGGAGCCACGTCACGTAGAGTACTGCGAAACATGAGAGGAGCACCTGGTTCATCCAGAGGTGGAAGAGCTCGAGCAAGCGAAGCTTGCACCACAACCATGGAGGAAGAGGCGCCAGCGACGAACTCCCGGACCTGATCCCCTTCCTCGGTCCTCGTCTCTGCTCCGGCCATGTAGAGTTTGTTCCGAGACTTGACGGTTGCTACAGTGTACCCGACCGCCACTGAGATCAACAGCAGGGAAGAAAGCCCCACCACCAACCCTACGATGAGACCGACCTTGTCCGACGACTTGGCGGGAGTGACGGTGGTAGAGGGCACAGCAGTTGTCGCCATCGCCGTCGTCTCGCTCGCGTTGGTCGCTGTGGTCGGGGGAGGGTTGCCGCTCATCGCTGCCCACAGAGAGAAGTGATAGCTCTTGGTGAGCAGGAACGGAGCTCCGCGGTCATACTTCACCTCCCCTCCTGTGCTCACCCACTTGCCGCTGTCCCGATCCAGGAAGCGCATCTCCAGCACCTTTCCTTCTTTTTTCGCCGTGTCGATGACTTCCTGGGTGATGGCAGTGGCGATGGTGACGGGCTGAGCGAAGGTCACTCCGTCGGGCTTCAGCTCCATCACCTTCCCCACGGGCTTGAGGTCACTCTGGTCCTTGGGGATCGGAGGATCCGTCTTGTACACTTGCACTGAGACGACGATGGAGGAGGTGAGGGCTCCGGGAGGAAGCTCCACCCCATCCCCGTCCGCTCCTTTGACAGGTACCGGCTCTGAGCTCGGCTGCACGAGCTGCGGGGCTACCGAGAGATTCTTGTCCGCTACCACTTGAGTTTGGCAACTTTCGCCGAAAGAGCCGGCAGGACATTCGCACCATGCCTGACCGCCTGGGGGGACCTGGACGACTCCGTAGCACGGCAGAGAGCAGTCGGGGCCGAACCATGCTGAGCCGTTCCTCCGCTCGCAGTCAGTCTTGGGGACTTGCACGCCCAGGATCGAGCCGTTGACGGAGCCCTGCAGGCTGACGGGCGACTGAGAACAGTCGACGCAGGTCACGCAGTCGATGCATCCTACCGTGACATCAACGGCAGCCTGAGTCGTGGAAGGATTTTTCAACGTGAAGGAGAGGAAGAGCTCGCCGTCGAGACCAGTGACGGTGTCGATCGTCATGTCAAGTTTCCCAGATTTTTGCGTCCAGATAGCAGACGTCATTTTGAATGTGCTGTTGTATAGCGTGATCGGCAAGTTGTTGTTGTCTGGTGTGCCCGTACCCGTCAGCCCACTGAGTGTGACATGCAGGGCCGATACGAGCGGCGTGTTGGCTCGAAGGGAGAAGTAGATGATATTGTCGCTGTCGGGAAACGTGGAGGACTGGAGCAGTTTGACGTACTCGAACTTAGGAAAGATGCAGGAAGACGGGCCCTGAGGCATCTGCTTGCAGGTGAAGGCAGGAGAGCTGGAGGAACGACAGAGAGCTGTTGCCTCTACCTTGCAGCTGCTCGAGCATCCGTCTCCGTCCAACACGTTCCCGTCATCACAGCCCTCGGTCGGCAACTTCAACCCGTCTCCACATACTCGCGGGCATTCGGCGTTTGCAAGATCGAGAGGAGAGGAGGCGACGGCTCCTTCTCCGATGACGTTGATGGCCGACACTTTGATGGTAAAGTTCTGGGTGGTAGAGTCGAAGAGCTGGGGGTAGTCCTGTCTCGTGAGCAACACGCTTGTCTGCGACGTTGAGATGACAAACTCCTGATTGAACACCAAGACGACGCGAAAGCTGGAGATGAGTTGACGGTTTGCTGTCCCATCGCCAGTATTAGATGGGATCGTCCAGCTGAAGTTGAGGGTGTTGAGGTCGACGCGAGAGACGGTGAGGGCCTGAGGGACCGTCGGGGTAGCCAAGGCGAGGAACTTGAAGCCAGAGGAGTCGAGCGATGGGCTGCACGTCTCGCCGACCAGGTTGACTCCGATGGCATCATAATGATACACTTGTCCTTGCTCAAGGTTATCGAGCCTCACGCTTTGCACTGCAGAGCAGTTGCTGCTGACTGTCTGAGTAACGACAGAGCCTTTCTCCGGTTTGAGGCTGACCCGATAGGAGACAGTCTTGCTCGTCGCGTTCTGTTGGCAAGCAAGGATTGTTCTCGGATCCTTTCTCCAGCTGATCTCTACCGCCAACGACCCTGCATAATTGTACCACACCTGGACCGGACAGCGAGGTCTTCCCATGACGATCACTCGCACGCGACTATCCAAGGACTGGACAGCGCTGCTAAGATTCGCATCGTACAAGTTGGCGGTTATCAGCAGGTCGAACTCGATCGAAGAACCTTCGTCGGGCTCTGAGTTTGATATCCGGAAGGACAAGTACCCTGCGGCATGGTCAGGTTGAGGCTCTTGAGGACAGGGAGGACAGGCAGACCTGATTGATTGATCTTGGGAGCCAGGGAGAAGCTCGGATCGATACTGCCTGACACTGTGAAGGTGGTCACTTGAAAGAAGTCCTGCCATTAGGGTGAGAAGCGAACATTCCGACAACTGCCACGTCAGCACCTGTGTGCATGAAGAGTTTCCTGCAAGGTTCAAGTCCTGGACGTAGACAACTCGACGGTCGCTGATGGCATCGAAGGCGAAGGCAAGCTGATGGACCATGAGGTTGATCTCTTGCACACTTGACTGCAGCACGAGAGATCAGTCAAGGCCAAGGAAAGCGGAGGCCCAGCGCTTACCGTCACGTTCAGCTTCAGCTCGGGGAAGGCGACGGGACCGAAGATGGTCAAGACATGAGAAGCGAGACTGAAGGGGCTCAGAGCAGACGTCGACGTGTCAGGAACATCCAGCTGAATTCCCTTCGACACTTGCGCGAGCTGTCCTAATTGGCTGACAACCACGACAGCCTTGCTGTTGGGCGCGCGGTAGTAGTCTGCGGTAGCCAGCAGACTGGCAAGGGCATGAGCAGGGAAGCTGACGGTGAGCGAGGAATTTGGCAGGATGTCGCAGTTGAAGGAGAAGAAGATCCTGAAGACCGTCGCGCGGCAGAACAACATGGTCACCTGCGAGAGTTGATCGATCGTGAAGTTGGCTCGGAAAATCTTGAGCGGGTCATAACCACCGGGGATACCGATGACGGTGATTCCTGGCTTGCTGACGAGAGCTTCCGCCAACGGCAGGTGTAAAGCTGCATAGCTCGCCTGGACCACAAGCGTCGCCCTGAGCTTGAGAGGAGGAGAGTTCTGCTCTTGGTCGGGGTTGATCAACGACAAGTTGAGAAAGTAAGTCTCACTCGCATACATGTCCATGTGCGCGATGACAATCAGCTCATCGCTCAAGGTACGATTCAGCACAGCAAACTCCGACGAGACGTTGTAGAGTGCTGGAAGTCCCACCAGCCCACGCAGCGTCATCGTTGATCCCACAGCAAAGTCGATGTTGCAGGAGATGCTGAACACGAGCTTGTTCTCCTTCATCACCAGCGGGTTCTTCTGGATGCCCGCGAGCAGGTCAAACCCTGGTTGCACCAGCTTCCCGACGAGAGACCCTCCTGCCACTCCAAACACAGAGACAGAACGCGACGAGAACTCGCTAGTCACCTTCAACCCGGTCACGATCGGATCCAGGTAGCACGTGACCGACACTGCAGCTGCATTGCTCTCTTTCGCTCCGTTGACCAGCACGACCGTCACGTTCAGGTCGTCGCCAGCTGGCAAAGTCTGCAGAAAGTTGCTGAGCACCAGGCTCCCTCCCACCAGGCGGCTCGAGTTGATCAGGCTGGCCGGAGACTGTCTGACGCTCACGACGCCCTGCTGCTGGTCGAACATGCTCATCCCGGTGATGGTGCAGCTTGCCTGCTTGGGCGTCTCGAAGTTGAAGCGAAGGGACAAACTCACGTTGTTGAGCTGACCGACGATCGGGTTGTCTTGGTAGACGAGAGCTTTGGTGATCGTCGCACGGTAAGTCACGAAGGGGCTGCTGCCATTGATGACGCCGAAGAGGGTCGAGCGATCCATCAGCATCGCCCTCGTCTCACTCTCAGAGTCGAAGACTCCCAGCTCCTCCACCAGCTTGACCTGCAACTGCCTGTCCGCCTGCTCGCAGTCGCCGTTGATGACGCGGAACGACACATTGAAGGCGGAGACGTTCGACCCCGAGAGCGTCAGCACTAGAGTATTATCCCTGATGCTCGTGAAGGAGTCGTCGAGCAGCGTTGGCACACACGAGGGAGCTGGGGTGATGAGCAGCCGCGAGTCCTTGGTGATGGCGAACCTGGAGACGACGTGCAGGGAGATCACGTTGGGCGAGCTGGTGAAGGGAATCGTCTGCGAGATCGTCGCCTCCTGTATCTCCGGCATCACTGTCAAGAATGGCTTCCGCCCGCCCGGGACCAGGAAAAGGTCCTGCTGGGTCCCAGCTATGGCGGTCACTTCTGACCAGGAGTCGTACAGCCCGCACTCCACCATGAGGCGGGCGGGAAAGTCAGACGGGGAGGACAGGGGGGTCTGACTGTTTCTGATGCTCAAGAGGAGGACATAAGGAGGTTGGTTGTCACCTCCCAGGAACTTGAAGGAGGAGTTGGAGCTGATGTTGACAACCTGCCATGCAGACGACAGCGACGCAGCCTGCGAGACTTGCTGTGCAGGCCAGTTTGCAAGGAAGAGTTGAGACCCGACGGTGAGTGCGACGTTGAGGGTGAGGCTGAGAGTGAGCTGGTTGGATGAGCCCACGAAGGGAGAGGATTGCTCGAAGCTCCAAGAGGAGATGCGAGGACGAACAATCTTGAGGGGTAACGAGCCTCCCTCAATGCCGAACCGAGAGGAAGGCTGCTGAAGCAGCGACACCGAGCTCAAGCTCGCGTCCCATACGCCGCTCTCGATGAACCCGCTCAGCGTGGGGCTGACGGCTACCTGCTCGCTCCCTCCGTTTCTCACTGTCACATCCAGCATGACGACGAAGCTGCTCCGGTCGCTCGTCGCCTCCACCACTATGAAACACCCGCTCGCAGAGGTAGAGGTCACCCTGAAAGCAGCAGCATTCACAGTCGCGATGTCATCCGCCATGCCGCACAAGCCGCTGAGAGTCAAGCGAGAGCCTTGGACGAGGAAGGTGTTGGTCTTCACAGAGACCGTGAGAGTGTTGGAAGCGTCGGTGAGAGGAGAGCTCTGATAGATAGACGCGTTGACGATGACAGGAGCCCATGTGTCAAGAGGATCCTGCAACGAGATCCCGTAGGGGTTGGAAGCAGCCACCGGGGTGAAGTTGAAGGCCAGGGCGAAGTTGTTGCTCTTCGAGCTTGTGATGTCCATGGAGACGTTGGGGGCTCGAAGGACGTAGGACGGGTTCCTGACCTCGACGACGAGATAGTAGTTGACGTTTGCCTTCATCGCGTCAGAGGCCTCCATCGCAAACTCAAGGTAATCTTCGCCTGTCGTCACGTTGCGGAAAGTCTGCACCCTGCCGTCTTGAGAGGTGAAGTTGAGAGACCCGCTGGTGAGCGGCGACTGCAGCAGAGGCGAGCGAAGCCTGAACTTGAGCCCATCGCTCCCTCTGAGCTCGACATTGAAAGCAAACTTGAGGTTCAGACGGTTCAGCGAGCCCACCAGCGGGTTCGCTGATGACACCGTCGGTGATACAACCTTCGGGGCGACAAGCAAGCAGATGCGGCCGCTCGTGTCGGTCTCGGTCGTCATGCGAGTCTTTGACAAGAGAGAGATCCTGTCTCCGACTCCGACTCCTCCCTCGACCGACACGTTGCATCCCTCTAGCCGCTGACCTTGGCTGTTCGTGACGGGCACCCACACACGGATGCTCGTGTTGACAGCGATGAGGTCTAACACCTTGACGGTGAAGCCATCGGCCACTTGCTTCACCTCAATCGCGCTGTCAAGGTTGCTGTAAGCTGGTGCCTTCGCTTCATTGTAGACGTAGAGTTGGTCGGGAATGCCTGTGATGTAGAGGTAAGAACGGTTCGTCATATCCACGTCCACTCTCATCTCCATCGAGATCGTATTTTGCATGAACGAGACTGATCTCGAGTGCTGGATGTGGGCGAAGAGGATCTTTGGGACATGAACCTTGAACGGGTTGGAGGCGTCCTTCACACCTCCGATGGCTTGGGAGCTCAACGTGACCCCTTGCGATGGCAGAGAATAACGATTTCCACTCACCACGAGCCTTCCCTGGACGAGAAAACTCGATGGAGCCCGTTCGACCACCGGGTTTGTGAGCTCGAAAGCGACGAGAGCCTCGTACTGATCGAAGCTCGAGTTGGCAACCAGCAAGAGCTCGCCAGTACGAAGAATCACGGCTCTGCCTCCGAAAGTTACTTCTGACGCGGACCAAGACTGGTCAGCCTGAGCTGATGCAAACTGGATCTGCTTCTGCTGGCACACGGCTGCTGTGGAATAGACAACATTCTGCTGATCATTCGAAGCGGCGGAGCTCAACAGCCTCCTTCTGCTGCTGCTGGGAGCGGGGGTCGTCCAATCTGTGCTGGTCTCTAACGCCTGCATTGTTGTCGACGAAGAGCTGCTCTCCAAGGGTGTGGAGGAGGAACTGGACTCTAACGCGGACGTAGAGAACGCACTTGTTTCCAATGGTGCTGGTGTAGACGACGAGCTGCTCTCCAAGGGTGTGGAGGAGGAGCTACTCTCCAGCATCGCAGTTGAGCTGCTCTCGACCTCTGCAGTCGTTGACGAAGAGCTACTCTCCAGCATTGCAGTTGAGCTGCTCTCGACCTCTGCAGGCGTCGACGAAGAGCTGCTCTCCAGCATTGCAGTTGAGCTGCTCTCGACCTCTGCAGTCGTTGACGACGAGCTGCTCTCCAGCATTGCAGTTGAGCTGCTCTCGACCTCTGCAGGCGTTGACGAAGAGCTGCTCTCCAGCATTGCAGTTGAGCTGCTCTCGACCTCTGCAGGCGTCGACGAAGAGCTGCTCTGCAGGCGTCGACGAAGAGCTGCTCTCCAGCATCGCAGTTGAGCTGCTCTCCTCGGCGCTGGGAGTTGAGCTGGCCTCATTTGCAGCCAAAGAAGTAGTTTCATCGAACATTGTTGTTTCAGCTGGGGTAGTCGTGGATGTTGTTGTTTCAGCTGGGGTAGTCGTGGATGTTGTTTCAGCAGGGGTAGTCGTCGACAACGTTTCAGCAGGGGTAGTCGTCGACAACGTTGTTGCAGCTTGAGTTGTCGTGGATAACGTCGTTGCAACTGGGGTAGTCGTAGATGTTGTTGTTCCAGCTGCGGTAGTCGTAGATGTTGTTGTTTCAACTGGGGTAGTCGTAGATGTTGTTGTTTCAACTGGGGTAGTCGTAGATGTTGTAGTTGGAGCTGGAGTAGTCGTGGATGTTGTAGTTGGAGCTGGAGTAGTCGTGGATGTTGTAGTTGGAGCTGGAGTAGTCGTGGATGTTGTTGTCTCCTCCCCTTGAGGTAGCTGATATGAATAACAAGAATCGACATAATCCCAGATGGCGCTAAATCCAGTGAGTGTAAAAATGGATCCAGTGTCAAAATGCACATTGGGTCGTAGAACAATCGAAACTCTGTTGCTGATGTTTGCCAGTGCACTCGATTGACGGATAGAAGCAAAGATCAACGAAGGAATGACAGTCTTCCCTGGGACAGAGCCGTTCAGAACACCCAGGACATCTGCATAGATGACAGTGAGGGGCACGTTCACTGCATTGAGGCTAAGAGTCAATGAACTGCTGCCCTGATGCGCCAGGTTCTGGTTCTTGACTGAGAATGAAATCTGATATGCTGTTGCTTGAGATTGGATGATTTCAGTGTTCGAAAACAACAAGCAGGAGGCTGCATTCCAGGAGCTTGTCAGCGAAAGCTGCGGACTTGAAACTGTGGGTACGCTTTGCCCAACAGCATAGTCAAGGCCAGAAAAAGCACAAACAGAAAAGTTTGATCGTGTTTCAACATTCTGTGCAATTGTAAGAGAAAGAATCAAAAGATTGTTATCGTTTGCGAGAGGATTGGTCTGACGTATGGAAGCTGCTGATATCACTTGTTCCAATCCATTTGTGGACAAAACCAAGCATGATAACAAGGTAAGAAAGCAGGAAAGTTGGATACTGAAAGAAATCATGCTTGTTTCATATCGAGATGTAGTCTTTTGATGGATTACGATTCGGCAAGGACTACAGAGGAATTGTTCAGTGAATCTCAAGAATTACGATGTCGAGTTCTTACCTCTTCTTCTTCTCGGTTTCACTTCAGTCACACCTCAAAACGATGCGTGTCCCTGATAGTTTATGGATATTTCTACTCTATCGCCTTCTTCCCATTCTCTCTCGCTCCTTCCAGGGAGATTTCTCCAGTTCTTTGTCGCTCTGCACCACTGACTAGCATTGCATGTGACTGCTCAATCCCGGAGGGGCAATCCAACTTGTACCCCACCCACTGAATCTAACTCTCTTTCTCATCACCCCTCCATTGTAGTGACTTTTCACCCCCACTTCTAGGGCGAATTAACTTAGCCACCCAACCCCAAATCAAAATTGTTTTAAGATGTGGATAAGCTCCAACGTTCCAGTCCCCGAACTTTGAGGGGGGTGGTGTGATGGGTCGTCTCGAGATGACAGCCACTGACAGGGTGGGGGTGGTCGGTGAGATCACGGGGTGGGAACATCATAGTATTGACCTAGGTCGGGGGGGTTCTGGTCCGAAAAGCGCAAGGAGTGCGCATCGATTTTTATCCTGGGGGTAGGGTAGTTCTTACTCCAGGGCCCAGGTGGGGTGGGGTGGGATGGATTCCCCAGAGATCACTTGTTTTCCTTAAAAGGAGCTTCGGTTTCGAATCTTTTGACAGTGTTAATTTCAAATTTGAGAGCATATTTCAGGCAGGATCACCGTCCGCCTCCCATTTTGGCCACTGATATAAACTGTAGATGCCACGGTTTGAGCGGCCGCACAGGGGCTGGAGGGTGAAAGGCCCCCCTGTCAGGGTGTCACTTTTCTTAATTGCGGTGTCGGACGGTGACAGAGGGTCCAACCCCTCCCTCTTCGCACGGACCCGCAGTCATACGATTAACGTCTTTATTATTCTTTCACCTTCTGGGCGCAATTACCGGGCCCGCGTCCCCCACATGGCTGAATTTGCCCTCGTTATCATAGTATGATCTTTAACTTAACTTTGAGTAAAATTGGCTGAATTTGTATAGATTTTTTATACTGGGTGCGCGGCGAGCTCGAACGACGGTCGGAGGAACTTTTACACGACCCCTTGACTGAGCATTGATCGGACTCTGAGCCCGGGCTGCCGGGCGACTCAGGGCGGGCCCGCGGCGCCGGGCTGACCTTTACTCAAAGTTAAGTTAAAAACTGATCAGTACGCCATGACGAGGACTTGTCGGATCAGGAGAGTCGAGGTGGTCGCAGTGTACTGATATGCGGTGTCGAGCAAATACCTGGTCAAGAAAAACCAAAGCAGTATCGATATACTCGAAGGCAGTACTATCATGAGTTTCATATTACTCGGAATAACGCCAAGTTCGAAAAATGGAGACAAGGCATAACAGAAGAATCAAGCGATATTGCAAGAGTGTCCGCAAAAACGTCTCGGTTGGATCACTATGAAAGATACATCGACACCGTGGTGAGACTAAGCGAGATCCTGTTCGAACACAATTGTCAAAACAAGTTCGCACGCCTGAAGATGGATAACTACATCCACAAACACAAGGCGATTGATACGTTCTTCAAGAAGATGAAAGACGGTAACGGTTCAGATCAAAATCCAATAATTGCATACGGTGATGCATCATTTGGTTGTACTGGGCGTGGAGAGAAGTCAGTGCCTGTAAAATGGATCAAAAGGCGATGTCAGAACTTCTTCGAGGTGACGGCAGTTGATGAATACAGAACGACAGAATGTTGCAATCAATGTCATCAAGAATTGTATGATTTGAAACGCAAAAAAATCAACAAGAATGGTATACTCGCTGACGAAGTGTCAGTGGTGCGGGGTTTGAAATGGTGCAGATCCACCAATTGTGTTCAAAACCGTATCAAGTCTCGTGATATCAATGCTGCTATGAATATTCTATTGTGCTACATGTCTCTACCAGCACGACCGGATTTTCTGAAACGGCCTTGAATCACACATGGGTCTGGTTATACTTCAACCTGTTCTTCATGGAAAGGATGAAGTACGAGTCAGACACAAGGAAATATTGGCGTGTGGGTCTTCCATGATCCATAATTTCGACGGAAAATTTAGAATTTTGAAATTTTATATTTTGTGTCGTTTAGCTAATAAATACTAGCCGTCCTGTCATCAGCCGCCAGTCCGATCTCACTGGAGATCGCGGTGAGAAGATTCAAGTAGACAGGCTACTGATCTATGACAAGCTGGAGCCGCAAAAACCGCAAAAAGCTCGACCCGATGAGAAGTAGAACTCGGCAAGTGGAAGAAATCTGATACGTGGGTTCATCAGAATCCACCTCCTCCCTCGGGAAGTTTGTCAATCTCCTCCTTGGTTGCAAAATCTGGAGGGACAAGCTGGTGTCGCTTCGCATGCATCTCCTGATCTCAACAGCTTCAGTTTGCCTCACGACATCGTGCGCACTCACCTTGTAGATCTGCCTGATCGTTGCTTCTGCTGCTCCGGTAGCGTCTGAGATCTGCTTGCAACTTCTGAAGTGCTTCGGGTTGCCTGAGCACGGGCGTCAGGAGCGAAGTGCAGATCATAACAACAGACGTTGTCGCAGAAGACAGGCCATGAACATGGCGGCAGAGGCGATGGACGTGTACACCCTTCCCTGTATGTTGAAGTTGAGGTGCGAAGACACTCGAGAGATCTTAGACCTCAGTGATGTTGAGAGCATCGGCTGCTTGACAGATATGCTTCGCAGCCTGCCAGCAGCGAATGAGAATCCCAGAAAGACGAAGAAGGCGAGGGCAGGAGGAACGACGACAGTAGACGGATATAAATTTTTACCTCCTCGATAACATTTCCGTCCAAGTTCAAGTTGGAGCAGAAGCGAGGAATAATGTCGGATGCCTGACCGCACAGTCAGTCAATCCCTACCACCATGATCACATCCTCACCTTCATAGGCTGTACAGTCTTCTTGATCAGTTCCTGTACCTGTCAGAACAATAACTTTGACATTCTGTACCGCTGCAATATCATACGTGTTTGAAGGCGTTCCCAATCTCCTTCTTGGTCAGAGTTGTGGCAGCACACATCTCCTTCATTGTTCGAGGGAATCCTGAAGTAGACTGGCCTTAGCACACCAGTCCTCCCGAAGAAGCTGCTCGCCAGTACCTTCTTCTCGGCAAGCAATATAAATGCACGAGGTCAGGACGGGATCGATGGGGATTTTCTTCTTTTGCTGCAAACATTGTGACGAGCGATGCTAAGGAGACTTGGTTGGTTCCATCTCACTTTCTTTGACTCTTCGTCATAGCTTTTGAAGTTGTGTTTGGCCTAAAAGTTGGTAAGTAGTGTTTTCGAGTATTGTATGATCATCAAAACCTGGCCACGAATGACAGAGGAGAGGTTCATGGTGTCACAAATCTCATCGATTTTTTTGTATGCATCGGTCAATGCCCTGTTCGTATTGCAAACTCGCATTACAAACAAATCCGCCAAGAAAGATGAACAACCGATCTCCAGATTGCGAGCCAAATCTATGCTGGCTCTTCGCCAGGTTTGCTGCAGAGCCGAGAACATCGACTGTCACAGGTTTCCGGGTTAGAAAGTCTTGGGACAAGATGGAACAGAGCATGAAAGGATTTACCATCGCCATTTCTACCGTTTCCTTCTATCTTGGTCTGTTGCAACATTCGGAGTCAGTGAATGTACGCCACCAGAAACCAAAAACGAGCAGGTCAAAGATCGACCTGTGCCCCATCGTTGTTCAACAATGCGTTTTCAGGACCACCAGTTCTGCGGCAGTTTTCACCTTCCAATCAATCGGACCGAGAGAAGAGACCTTCCCTTTTCCTGGCTCTTATCATCGTCTTGGAAGGTACGCCATTCGGACTGGCGGGATATCACTTGCATGGCATAGGTCGAAGGAATTCACCTGCGTGGACATGATTCGCGCGTTGTTTTCCATCGCACAGTTGGAGCAAACTATGGATCCCTAGCAAAAGGACAAGAGCTTTCAGTGCTGGAAGTACAACTTGACCACCAACCTCTTCCTGTATCTCTATCAGCGATTCGCTTCCACAGTAAGCACAAGGTCTCCTGTGCATTCGCGTGAAGCGGACGGTACACTAGACAGACAAATCTGTCACTTGAGGTAGACAAGAAGGTAAGAAAGTACATTTCCGCCCTGCATCAAAATATCCCGGACAGAATCAAGGACGTATCGTTCCCGGGACTTTTCTTGAAAGTCAGCTCACGCAGTCCCACAAGATGTCTACTACCATGGGATTCTTCTCATTCGCATTCGCGATATCACTAATGAACGTGTAAGAAGCTCTCTTTGGCAAGTGAGGTACAAACATAAAGTCAGCTGCGTCTGGCGACTTCACTCCAACGATGTGATCACCAATCATAATGCCCTGCTGAAAAGTCACCAACACACCAATGCGATGGTTGGGAAATTGCCAGTTTATGCGCCTCCGATGGAAACACGACTTCGGTGATGATGAGAGGATACTTGAATCTGATGTCGTTATTCACTTTGTCCATCGCAGCCTTGATTCCCCTTCACCAGAATCAACTTCTCAACCTCTCTTCCGCTCTCCTACCAGGTACTGGCAGTGAAGTCCACCTCCCAGGTTGTCCACGTCACCGCATCTATCAACCATCTCACACAACCTTCTGTTCATGCAGCAGCAAGTACCAGGTATGACAGAGCCCTGAATCACTCCCTTGGGCTTGAAAGCAGAGCCCTTGAGATCGAAATTAATGAAGTGTTGAATTGCAAGATCCAGTACCTGGACGACCTTCTCCGCAACCATGCTGAGGACAAGCTCGGTGCCAATCAAAACTACAAGGAGGAGAGCAGTTATTGCAATAGAAGGATGGCCAGGGGTGTGTTCTGTTGCCAACTTGCGCTGCCCTCTCTTCCAACTCTTCACCGTCACACTTCCTGGTTTCGCCATTCGGCCTCTGCCCTCCCGCCCCTCCCCCCCCCCCCGCCCTCCATCGCCTATCCCACTCCCTCCTCATGCATCCCAGCATACCTCACTCGCTCCCTCACTCACGCCCTCCTTCTTCCACCTTCCTCCTCTCTCTCTCTCTCTCTCCCTCCCTCCCCACCCGAATCCGCTCAAACCACAGCGAAATGTGATATTGCTCCCATCTGGGAAACGCCACCGGTACTTAAACAGATTGAAAGGGGGTGGGTGGGTAGATATTCCGGGCCTCCCGGGCCCGGCGGTGCTACTGAGCGAGCAATAAGACCATCGCGTTCATGGCAGGGAGTCTGCGTGTGAGTAGCAGATGACGGGAGGAGGAGGAGGAGGAGGAGGAGGAGGAGGAGGAGTGGGTGGAGAAGGAGTAGTGTGTGAGGGATGATGGAGAGATTAGCAAGTAGAGCTTGCAGTCACATGAGAAGGAGACAGAGAATGTAGAGAGAAAGGTTTGGATCGATGGGATTTAGTTCTGAAGAGAAGGGGACAAATTGAAGACTGCACAACCTTGACTTGAGGGAGCAGATGAGGATTAGAGATGTTGTTGTTCTCGTAACATCTTTTCGCAGGTCGTGCTGAGTCTTGCTCTACATGGCCTCGGGAGTGATTGCTGTTATGTTCACAGCTCTGGGCTAGTAAATCCTCTGCTCCACCGTGGAAGGTTTGTACAGGCTCTGAGTTGTCGAGGAAGGAACGACCAGCTGCGAATTGCCATGTCGATGCTCAGAGGAGGAGGTGGGGAAGTAGATGGAAACACAGACGTCAGAGGCCCGTTAAGGATCATGCTCGTCGACAAGAGCGCTAAGTCAGAACCTTCACAAACTCCCATGCTTGCAGGGCTGAGATCAGGCGCAGGGCACCATGCAGAGCTACCGAAGGAGCGGTGGGATACGATGTGTACAGTGCAGCTGCGACGGTGGTGAAGGGGAGGTGGAGGTACGGTACTCGCAAGGACGCTTGTAAGTTGCCTCGCAACAGGTCCTCTGCTGTTGTTGGCACTGGAGTCGCCGTCGCCATCCCGCGCGGATGCTACGGAAGGATCGCACCTCGATCAGGTGCTTGCAATGTCGAGGGTAGCAGGGACGTGAAGGGGGTGCCGTCAAGGGTTGGCGGTCAAGAACTCGATCGATGTAGGAGCGGGGGTCATCGACCCGGACTACAGGTGACCGTCAACATGGCAAGAGGGAAGGAGGAGGAGACGTAACCTGAGGTGGCAGGGGGGAAGTGAAAGTCTTGTTGTTCAACCATGGTGGGGAGGCGGAAGCAGCTGTCTCGCCAGTCTTGACTGTATGCAGGCGATGAAGACTTTGCGATCGAACCCGGGATGAGGATAGCGCAAGTTGTGCATGATGTGCATGCGAGTAGCTGAAGTGACTCTGATATGTCAGTTGATCCTCGAGGTGTGCGCGACGCCTCCTGTTGCTGTGGTGGACAACCTGGACGAGACGGACAGGCGAGCCGACGGCAGGGGGGGGGGGGATCTGTTTGCTGACGCCTCCTCCTACCTGCAGAGGTTCCATGGGGTTTGGATCGACAGGGATGCGGTGACGGCATGATCTCAATGGCTGATGGTGCTTGAGAAGGGTGTGAGGATGACAGGATGACGGTTGTGTTCATGATGGTCGCTACGTGATTGATGCTTTCCTGTTTGTATGTGACAACCAGGTGCAAGCATGCAGCGTGAAGTAAATCCTACAATCTCGATTGCCTCGCTTCCGTCCCCGCAAGGCGATTTCGCTGGTTTGCTAGCTATTGCGAGATGGTGTGGACCCCTGGCTCCGTGACGAGAATCTCCCTCGTCTCCGTGCGAACAACCTGCCATGATCTGTGAGCAAGAGCGCCAGCAAGCATAGGAGGAGGAGGGAGGGAGGGAGGAGATGGAGATAGCGTGAGGGATATAGGTGAGAGTGCAGGTGGAGGAAGGGAGGGAATGAAGGAAGAAACCTTGTAGCCCCTCATTTTCAGCATGTCGTCGCTCATAGTTTCTTCGTCCTCAGTCTTCTCCAGTCGCCATCCTGCCATCCTCTTCAGCTCTTGTGCTTATCCTCCTCCTCCATCACCCGCGTTGTGCACGAGGAGACTTTGGATCACGACTTTCGCCCCTGGAGCTGCGCGGACAACCAGCGCCCCGTCGAGCTCGAGAGTTCCTGCGATTGTATGAGCAAGGAGAGGAGGTGGGTTGGGAAGAGGAGATGAGTTAGTTGGAAGAGGATGGAGAGGAAGAAGGGCAGAGCAGGGGGGAGGAGAGGATAAGGTGAAGGAAGACACCTTGGATGGAAACGTCGCCCTCCAGCACAAGTGCACTCCTTCCTGTCACCTTCACTTTAGAGTCCTGGGAGATTTTTTCCTGCTCGCAACGGTCAGGCTGACGTCTAGAGGAGCAGGAGGCGGGACCTTGATCTCAAGTAGCGAGGTTCCAAAGGAGGGAAGGAGCACGACGAGAGGCCTGTGAAGAAATGAGACCAGGCAGGGAAAAGTAGGAAAGTTGCTGTTGTTGTTGTTGTTGTTGATGATGATGATGATGATGTTGTTGTTGTTGTTGTTGTTGTTGTTGTTGTTGTTGTTGTTGTGAGTGGTGGTGGTGGTGGTGGTGGTGGTGGTGGTGGTGGTGGTGGTGGTAATGATGATGATGCTGTTGTTGTTGGTGGTGGTAGTGGTGGTGTTGGTGTGGTTGTGGTTGTTGTTGTTGTTGTTGTTGGTGGTGGTGGTGGTGGTGGTGGTGGTGGTGGTGGTGGTGATGATGATGATGATGATGATGATGATGATGACGATGATGATGACGATGATGATGATGATGCTTCTGCTGATGATGCTATATGATGATAGTGGTGGTGATGGAGATCAAGGGAGGGAGAGTCTCACGGGAACTCAATCGGGATGTCGGCGAAGGTTCCTGAAGTTCCTTGCATATCAACGTCGACACCTGTTTATGCTCCTCACGCCCTTCAACTTCTTCTCTACTTCCCACCTGCAAGGGAGAGGAGGCGGCAGTTCAAAATCATCGCGTCTCGTTCAGCTGACCCTGCACACTGCACGCGCTTGTCATGAAACTTGTTCTGTTCCCTCTCCTCTCCCTCCACTCTGCTTTCCCTTCGCTCCCTTCCTCTTCTTCCCCCTCTCTCCCGGTCCCCTTATTTCTCCGGCTGGTTTTGCCTCCTCCTCTCTCTCTTTTCACTTCGCCTCCTCCCATATTCTTGAGTTCCTCTGCTCTCCCATCCTATCACCTCAGGCGGCAAGCCGTTGCGAGCCTTTGCGGCGGCGTCCTGCGAATTTCGTGAGCATTATGTGAAACAAAACGACGATGTGGGAGTGGAAGCCAGGGAGCGAAGGAACAAGAAGAGGGAGAGGGAGAGGGAGAGGAGGGAAAAGGAAGAATTGAGAGTTGAGGTGAGGTGTTGAGGGCGAGGAGTAGGAGCAGTGGAAATGTTGAGAGGAGGGGGAGGAGGAGGAGGAGGAGGAGAGTAACTAACCGTCAAGTTGTTCTTCACAGGAGAAAAGCAGAGCCAGCGATCGATCTCTGTGAAGCCAACCTGTACACCACAGAAGGTTGTGAGGGGGACGGATAGATGGATTGCTGGAGGGAGGAGGGAGGAGGGAGGAAGGATAGGGAAGTAAAAGGGAAAAGCAAGAAGGATGGGAATTAGTATTGTAGATGAATGAAAGGGAGGAAGTGGGAGAAGAGAAGAGGTCAATTACATTTGCCTCAGGTGGCAACAGAAGTGGAAAGTCCTACAAACAAGTCAGATCGACATCAAAGTTGTTGATGATGGGTGAAGGAAGAATGATCGTTTGTTTGTTGTTGTTGTTGTCGACGACGACGACCACAACCGGGACAACGATGACAACATGTACGATTGTTCTTGCCTGCATCATGCACTCCAATCGTGTCGGGCTCTTGAAAGATGTCTTAGAGCTGTCGGCATACTGCGCATGAGCACATCAAACGACAGCCATTGAGATATTAGCATCTCCGAGTTAAGACGCCACAACTCTCAACCTCCTTGCAACTCTTCAGCCTCCTTGGCATCGCTCTTCTACAACCAACTGACACGACAACATTCCCCATCCATTCACAACTTCTCTTTCCTCCTCCCTCTCTCTCTCCGTCTCCGTCTCCGTATCCCTCTCCCTCTCCCTCTCCCTCTCCTTGTCCACCAGTGACCTCTGGAGGAAACTCCTTCACGTTGATCTCCCTGACTTCTTACCTTGGGGTTCACAAACTCGTTCACTTTGCCCCCAGTGGCCTCCAGCACGTCTGCCACCATCGACTCGTCAGCGCAAGGGGGGGGGGGGAGGGGGGGTGATTACTCTTGTACTGCGCGATGCCGAACACAAGGCAGTTGATGTTGCCGGGGAAGGGAGAGTGACCTTGTGGGCGATCACTGGGCAGGTGCATGTGAGAAGTTCAAGTTACCGGTGGCAGGGTCCGCCACATCCCCGTTGGCGAAGTCCTGCGCAAAGGCCGTGAGCAGACAGAGACAGTAACGGCTGTTGCGCCGTTGTGATCGTTCAATCACGTTCGTTGATCTCAGCAGGGGGTCGAGCTGGTTGTACTCGACGTTGACGGTGAAGTCTCGGCCGTCTTGGTGAACAAGCCTGTGGCCAAAGTCAACTTTACATCACACCATGTCGGAACACGTCGCAGCATACAGATCTCCTCCCCTCCTCCCTCCCTTTCCCTCTCCTACCCACCCTCTGATCTGCTCTCCTCTGCTCTGCTCTCCTCTGATCTCCTCACATCGCTTCCCGTTCATCATACATTCGTTGACAAATATATCATTTATGTCTTCATCCAATCCCTCCCGCCTCTGACTCACTTGCAAATTCCTCCAACGGCTTCTCCTGGCGTGCGGGGGACACAAACTGAGTTGACGTCGAAATTGCACTGATTGACAAGTAAGATTCGAAATGTCCCCTCCCCCGCTCCTGCTCTCTCCCTCTCCTCCCTCTCCTCCTCCTCCCCATCTGTCACCATATGTCTTCCTGTGCTCTCCTCTCCTCTCCTGTCTACTCTCCCTCGCCTTTCTTACCTTGCAGCTGACTCCCAGCACAGCCGTGAGCGCGCGGAAGATAACTCCGTTGGTGTCCTGCTCGGACACATTCACCAACACCGATAGAGCTACACCTCCTCCCTCGCACACCTGGAAGAAAACAACCCATTTCCGCCCTTCCTCCTGCCACCTCTTGACGAGTCCATGCTGATGCAGGAGAGTGTGAACGTCCTGTGGGAAGGAGAGCAGTTAGCTTCAGCCGTCATCCCTCGTCCCTCACTCCATGCCCGTGCGGCTTCGTCTCGATCTTGCCGTCAGAGGATGCAAACCTTGCCTTGACGTCCATCAGCGCTGGAACCTGAGGATCCGAAGCATCAGAGAAGTGCTGAAGGCGAGCGAGAGAGCAGACAGTCGACCTTGTTCTGCTTGACAATGGTGATCTGATCGCTTTCCATGCCGAAATTCTTGTGCTGTGGAGAAGTTTCAGCCATTAGGAGGAGGGTAGAAAACAAACGGGAGAGGCATGAAAATGCCGAGCAGGCGAGATGAAGCAAGAAATCAAGTCGTGAACAGATGAGAGAAGGTAAGGGATTGAAGCGTAGAGAGACAAGTTGAGGACACGAGGAATCGAGCGAACAGCAGAGGAAACGAAGACAAGAAATATCGGGGCGGGACGAGGAGGGGTGGAGAGATCAACCTTCTCGAGCAGCTCGACAGTGAGCGAGTGAGTGTCGTCACTGGTCATGATGGCCAGGGGGAGCTTCCTTCCATCTCCATGGGCTCTCTGCAAGGCGAGGATGTGGCTGATGTAGAGATCCAGGAAGCATCTGCAGCCAAAGTCACAACCATCGCTCCTCTCATGTTAATGTCGCAACCACCTTTCTCGCTCGATGATGTAGAGAGGGAGAGAGACTTTAATTCCTTTGTAACCCAGTCTTTCTCCAAGACCCCTGGTAGCATCGTCGTCAGCAAAGAAAGTAGTGGAGGATAGCTGATAAGCGACAAGCAAACACAGAAGAGTCAGAAGAGGAGAGGCAGCATCCTGGGCAGGAGGAGCAGCAGAGGGAGGGGGCAAGAAGCAGGAGGAGCAGGAGGACAAGGAGGACAGGGACAAGGAGGAGGAGAGCAGAAGGAGAGAGAGCAGAAGGAGAGGAGGGAGAGGGATGTAACGGGCTTCATACCCAGCAACTAGTACAAAAGCCGCATCTTTGATCGCTTTCGAACCGACAGACTCCATCTCCAAGAACGCCTCAGATCCGACCTAGGTTCTCAGCTCTCAGCTCGTCAACCCCCACCAGCCCTCCAGCAGGATTCTCACTTGCAACTTCTCCCCAGCAGGAATTTGAGGCTGAAACCCGGAGAAAGGGTTCACCCCCTCCGCCGAGTCCTTGAGCAGCTTCTGTGCCGTCTCCACGTACCCCGCAAGGCCGCCTTCAAGGACGTCAGCAGCAGGAGGAGAGCTGGGCATGCGGGGGACCTGGCAGCTGAGAGTCCAGCTCGCTCGCTTGCTGCAGCAGGCTCGCCTTCTGAGGTTCGGTGAGGCCTTCGAAGAGGTGCTCCTGACCCCCATCGTCAGTGCGTCACGGTGAGAGGAGCGAGACTATGGCGGGGAGCGAGGGGAGCGAGGGGAGTGGGAGGGGATGCGTAGAGATGAGAAGGATGGAGGGGAGTGGGAATACCTGACCCAAAGATCGAAGTTTGTTTTCCATGATGCTCCCTGAACGAAACATCAGCGCATGAACGAAACATCAGCGCATGAACGAAACATCAGCGCATGAACGAAACATCAGCGCATGAACGAAACATCAGCACATGAACGAAACATCAGCGCATGAACGAAACATCAGCACATGAACGAAACATCAGCACATGAACGAAACATCAGCACATGAACGCAACATCAGCACAACACATGAAAGAATCTCTAGCCGTTTGTGGATGTCTGAGAGTGAGGACGACACGACTGGGATGACTTTGGGCTACCCCAATCGGAGTGGTGTAGCAATCGATAAAATGAACATCACTAGAGCTAAAACAAGAGCCAAGCTGATCCTTCGTATTCCTTCCTCCTCTTTCTCGCTCGCTCTTCTTGGTGCCTCTTTCTTTCCCTGCCCCCCCTCTCTCCTTTCCTCCCACATGATCGGGATCAACATGGAACTTCGGCGAACTTCCTATCCTGCTATCATCTCTTCCTAATCCACCTTTGCTTGGTTTCTTCTGCCTTTGCCAATAGACCTGAGGCGGGTTTGATCAGTTTCAAGTTCCGAAGTTCCTCTGCCGCTCAGCAGCGGCTGTCCGAGGCACTGAGTGTGGCCGGGCCCGGCAAGCCGCTCAGAGCGGCGGTCCGGCCCGCCGGGGCCCGGCACTGAGTCCAGCTCCGACGCCGGCTCTGAGCGGAGCGCCCGGCCCGGCCCTCAGTCACGGCGGCCGCCCGGGCCGGGCCGCCCGGCGGGCGCCGGGCCGCCCGGCCCGGCATCCGATGATAGGCAAGTGCGAGTCACTGAGTCACGCCGATATCATCTCAAATTGACAGTGAATGGCGGAAAGGCTCGGAACTCAAAATTATCCCGATCGCCGGCCCGGGCCCGGGGCCAGTGTCACCGTGGCCCCGCCGGGGCCCGGGGTGACGAGGCTTGTACTAGCCGCGCCCTACTACGGTACTACGGTACGGCAGAACACAGGCTGCCACTCCGAGTAGATAGCCGCCTAGTAGTACCGTACGGTAGTATTCACCGTACGGTACCACCGAGGGCCGGCCGACGCTAGCGGAGGCTCCGAGTCGGGCCCGGGCGGACTGCTCACTATGAGAAATAGATAGCCGAGCTGACTCTGAGGCGGAGTAACGGTAGGGCCAGCAGTCTGAGAGCGCTGAGAACAGTTGAACCCCGCCATGGCAGAGAAGGAGAGCAAGAGGGAAAGAGAAGAGAAGAGAAGAGAAGAGAAGAGAAGAGAAGAGAAGAGAAGGGAGAGCGAGGAGAGCGAGGAGAGCGAGGAGAGCGAGGAGAGCGAGGAGAGCGAGGAGGGGAGAAAAAGAGAGCAGGGACAAGAGGAGGAGGAGCTGAAGGGGGGAGGAGGTAAAGAGAGCATGAAAGGATTGACTGAGGGGTTGAATTCTTCAGAAGTCACTTTCAGCATGACGAGACGAGCAGAGATCTTGTCGAATCTTTTGATTTCAGGGATCTGAAGAACAGAGAAAGGGCCGAGAAAGGCTGTTAGAAGGAAGTAGAATGCAGAAGTCTTGTTGTGGAGTGATAGTTCCTCTGCTGATGCATCGCATCATATATCTCAGATCTTTGCGAGATGTGTCTCGTTCGTCTCTATGTCAAGGTTGGAACAAAACCCTGAGTTGTTGCATTGCAGATCTCAACGGTGATAGGGAGCTGAGGACAGGATGGAGTCGGATGAATTGTTGGAGCACCTGCAACAGATGGAGGAAGAAATCCAGATCCTGGAGCTGGAGAACATGCTGCTGCAGAGCTACTCTGAAAGAAACCTAACGCACGGTGAAGAGCTGGACGACAAAGTCGCCAAGAAGCAGAGCAGGAGAAGCGCGAAGAAGGAGAAGGTTCCCGTGGAGCTGAGCGTGTCCCAGAGGACCAACATAGCGCTAGAAGTCAACGAGACCGTCAAGTCTGAGATCGACGAGTGTAAGAACATCTCAGAGAAGCTAGTCGACGACTTGAGAGCTCTGCTGGAGCTTGCTGATGTCAACATCACCGACGTCTCCAAGGAAACCTACGAGTTCAAGCGTGATGTTCAGAACATGAGCGTGCCAGGTTGGTTGCCGCGTCGTTGCCGCTGGAGTTTGACGGTGCTGGTGGCAGGAAAGAGCGCCAACGATCGGTTGCTGCACCATCTTGAAGAGAAGCTGCGGTCCAAAGACTCTGCCATAGACAAGTTGTCGCTCAAGAACAACGCGCTCAAGCAGCAGATCTTGAAGCTGGGGAATCAGCTTCAGCACAAGGAGGAGATGGGGGAAGTCTTGCACGTGATCGACTTTGATCAGCTCAAGATCGAGAACCAACAGTTCTTAGAGAAGATAGAAGAAAGGAACAACGAGCTGCTCAAACTGTTCGCCCCCACACATGACCTGGAACCTCTCTCACAAGCTTGCTTGCAGGAAGCTCACAACAGGGAACATCACCCAAACTTTGAATGGGAGTAAGAAGAAGCTGCAACGGCAAGTGCCACCATGGCGCCATGGCGTTGCTGCAGAGGGGACTGATAGTCGTTGTGCGATGCAGGCTGATTCTGGAATCAGAAACATTGAAGAAGATGATAGTGGAAAAGAAAGAGCTGACGAAGAAAGTGCAGCAGGAGATCAAGGGGATAGAGACAGAGAGATCGAAAGTGCAGAAAGCCAACTCGTTCTTGAAGAAGCAGATCGAGGAGTCGGCCATGCCTGAGGTTGGTTGACTTGAACGCCCGTGAGTGACCTAACGGCTCTTGGAAGCCTCTGGAGTACGTGCAGCAGAAAGCGACGGCGTACCAACTGCAGAAAGATGTGGCAAACTATGAGAGTGCGGCGATTGGAGAGTTGGGACGTTGCACTGACTTTGTGACTCAGGAAAAGTTGAGATTGCTGAGATGGAACACAGAAGCTTGCAAGTCAAGAATCGAAGTACAAGAGGAAATACAACAACACTATTCAACCAATGATCGAATGAAATGTTTGATACTGTCTAATAATATCTTACAAGCTCCATAACATTCATAATGTGACCTACCTCCGCACACAACTGCACAGCATGTCAGGGCAGCAAGACTCTTCACAATGGCAGGCTGGGACCTCTTCCCGAGCATTCAAGTCTTGCTCGCTGATGCCGAACTGAAACTGACATTCCCTGGAACTGACGTCAGGGAGCGCGGAGCAGGCATCCGAAGATCACTTGTTGACGACCCCGTCCTCGTCAGTGGTGACCCCTGGCTTTCTGCTGATGAGTTGACCCCGTACTGCCTGCTCCACGTTGACCCACGTGATGTCCACCAGCTGCACGAAGGTTAGCGCAGACTTGCTGTACCTCCGCGTCACCTTGAGCGCTTTCTCTGTGAGGAGCAGCTGAGCGATCTTGCGGTCCGTGTCTTTCAGCCTGCGTAGGATGGAGGTGAGAGGAGGATGCAAGAGAGACGAGGGAGGAGGGAGCAGAAGGAGCGCGAGGAATGGAGGGAGGGAGTCGGGGTCAGGAAGGCGAGAAGGAGCAGGACAGTAGAGCGGATAACGGGAGAACTCCAGGGAGGGAGGCAGTCGGCGAGTGGGAGAGGGAGACGAAGGAGAAGGGATGGGGGAAAAGGGAGAGGAGAGGGAGGAGGGAGGAGGGAGGAGGGAGGAGGGAGGAGGGAGGAGGGAGGAGGGAGGAGGGAGGAGGGAGGAGGGAGGAGGGAGGAGGGAGGAGGGAGGAGGGAGGAGGGAGGAGGGAGGAGGAGG